CACTAGAATAACATGGTTTGCATTATTTCCACCTTTAAATTAAGCAAAAACGCCCCATTTTATGCATTTCAGTCTCATGGGGCAAACATTTTACACAAAATTTCTGTCAACCCAGTAAACAGTTTAACAATTATCTTTCTTTAAAAAAAAGTGTTGTGTCACGTAAAAAGATTCTTTGGACCCGTTTTAAAAAGACCACTGAAATCCGTGGGATAAAATGATTTAATAAAATCCATAAAAACAATAAAAAGCAATAAAAGCCTAAGCTATAAGATATGGGTCTAGAGGGGCTAAAATAAGGCACCGCTGCTCAGTCCTTCTCTTGGTTCTGTGCTGGGCTTCGTGTCCATTCTCATCGTCTATCTGTCGGCCACGGCCTGGGTCGTCAGACAACGCAGCTTTCGCCTCAACCTGTCAGTCTCTCGCTCTTGCAGCTTCCTCCTCTTTTTCTTCCACTCCCCATCCCTGCCTTTTGTGCACAAGGCACAGGTGTTCTGATTGTCCGTCATGTGGGTCACCTGGCTGCTTCAGGAGATGTAAAGTTAGTAAATTGGGAAACTGCTTGGTATGGAAACATTGGAATAAATAGAAATAATTAACAGAATTAAAAACATTTAATTCTGTTAAGAAAATTGCATGAAGCTTTATTGGAAAAGGCTTAGCAAATTACTTGGCGTTTGGTATATGGTTTCTACTAAGGCAGAAAACAAATGAGAAATATTTATATAAATTAGCGCAAAATGTGTTGACATCATTATCTGGTTTGAGTATTGTCTGGAGCTTGAGATTTGAATGTTCAAAGCAACTTTGGATTCCCCACATCCAGCTCTTATGCCAAGGCTCTTTGTTTGTCACAAATCACAGCCATTCCACTGAGCACACAATGGACTACAACAGTTATTAGAATCAGCACGTTTGGCGGATATACATTTGCTCCTGTTGGAGTAGCCACCATATCGAATACCAAGCTTGCATCTCAAAAGATTTAATTACATTTTTATCTATATCTGCAAATTTGATATTTGCAGTCTCTGTGCTATTGTTTGCCATAAAGCTTGACTTAAACGCATTCACATTTTGTTGTTTTACTCAAAACAACAAAATATATGCAGATAAGCCAAGAAATTAAAATTGTTGAAGCTTTTCTTATGCCTCACACTGCTGTGCATTTTTGTTAGAACCCACCGTCCCGCCGAAGGGACGTTTTCATTTTTAAAATGTTCTGCTGGCAATAGCAGATGTATTTTGAACTTCTTACGCGGAAAGCTGTATCTCATTTTAAACTTATTTTCTCATCTACGTTTATATACAAGTGTAAACAATATCAGACTTTGCATTCAAAAGATATAATACATAATATGGGCACAAAATGCATCACATCCGTATCCGTTTTTTACCTTTAGTCTGGTACTGCAGAAACAAATGAGACTCCCCCCATCCTTGGGTCTGTGTACTTTTGCGTTCAATACATTTTCTATTTTTGAAGGGAAATGGAAAATCGAAAAATGGCTATTTTGCATTTTCAGGCACACAGCAATATACAAAAATGACCATTTTGGTTTTTTCATTGCTTATAAAACATATATATATTATAATAACCGGATTTGGCATCTAGAAAAATTCAATAATTAACCTATTTTAACGTGTATTTAATCGATTACCCGGAAGTGAAACAAGTTTGTTTACTTCAGCCCTATTCATTCTAATTTAGTATAATTTAATACGCAAATGACCTCCTGTATTTTTCTAAACACAGACGTTCTGTGATAATACTAATCCCGTGAGAATCTACATGTCAGTGATTGTGATCGTGATTGCCTCTTTCGCTTGACTTTCTGCGGTTTTTTTGTCAATAAGCAGAGGAGTCGCGGCTGCTGCTGTCTCTGTGAGGTCTATGGAGAAGTGTAGGACAGTGTAATGTGTTCACTGATCAGACCGATGGGTTGCATTTGTACGTTTACTTTGCACTCTGTCATAAAACAGTACAGACGTGTTGCTGCAGGCGTTAGTACTTGTCGGCTCGCACTTATCTTAGCAGAGTATGTGGTTCACGAGATGTCCATACAAACTATTATTAAACATTACAGACAGTATGGGCCAGAGAACTGTAGAGCAGTAAAATGTTTGTCCTCATGGTCCCTGTGGCTGCTGTGGTCCATAGACGGTATGTATTAACTATGTGGTCAGACGCGACTCTCTGGTCTGCGTGAAGCGGGAGACCGTTATTATAATAGATCCATGGGGAAGATCCGCGCACGTGCGGCCGTTATGTGAGATGTCAGTAAAAAATAGTATTTTACAGATATTGCTTGTCCCGTGTGAATGCACTACAAAATCTCAGACATTCTCCGTGATTATCACAAATTATCAGGGGTCCACAGGTAACCCGTGCGAGTAAACAAACTTGTTTCACTTCCGGGTAATCGATTGACGCCGAAATGTATTAGCGTTAAATACATAATAAAAAAAAGTTAATTATTGCATTTTCTAGTTCCCAAATCTAGTTATTATAATATACATGTCTTTATAAGCAAAGGAAAAAAACATATTGCTGTGTGCCTGAAAATGCAAAATAGCCTTTTTTCGATTTTCCATTTCCCTTCAAAAATAGAAAATGAAAAAGAAACGCAAAAGTACACGGACCTCCTTGCTATGGCTCTTTCTCTCCGTAAATGTCCATGGAAAAAGAATATCCACTTGTATTTTCCAAAGTATAATCCATTCGGGAGAAATAATTCATAAAGGTGCATTTATCTTTAGCGGAAAAACTTCCTGAAAAAACACAGGTGCTCCTCTTTCACTGTTAGCGGACTTTCAGCTTTGTTTATCCACAAAGACAGGGTATGCTCGTGTTCTCCAACTCGTTAGCTACTAAATGAGACCTTCCTTGAGGAGATATGTGCCTGCGTTAGTCTGCTGCATTCCTGGGAACAAAACAAGCGAACACCGTTTGCGCATGGTTCGTCTGCATTTGTTGTTAGCCAGACGGACCGCGGTAAAGTGGCCCAGCATTTCGTCGGCAGCGGTAAAGAGGTCCGCACTTTGAAAGCGGTTGGCTCCTTTATGCTGTTACTTACGGTAAACGTGGAACGGGAAGCCGCAACGAGAAGCAAGAAAAATTCAGTAAAAAAAAAAAAAAAAACATTAAAAAATAACAAAAAGAGTTTCGCGAAGACTTTCACTGCACACTTGTTCACCGTGATGCCCTCTACCACTGTGTAAAATATCATTCACTTTTACTGTAGAAATTCAGAGATAATAGGGGTCAAAGTGTGCACAATTGGTCCCAAAAGCACTTTTTAAAAATCATTTAAAAAAATATATAAAAAATTCCCTGACTACTTTCACTGCACACTTGTTCTCTGTGATGCCCTCTACCGCTGTGTAAAATATCATTCACTTTTACTGTAGAAAATCTGAGATAATAGGGGTCAAAGTGTGCACAATTGGTCCCAAAAGCACTTTTTAAAAATCATTTTTAAAAAATCTAAAAAAGTTTCCTGACTAATTTTACTGCACACTTGTTCACTTTATCTCTGAATTTCTACAGTAAAAATGAATTATATTTTACACAGTGGTAGAGGGCATCACAGTGAACAAGTGTGCAGTAAAATTAGTAAGGGAACTTTTTCAGATTTTTTTAAAATTCATTTTTAAAAGTGCTTTTGGGACCAAAATGGCACATTTTGACCCCAATTATCTCTGAATTTCTACAATAAAAGTGAAGGATATTTTACACAGTAGTAGAGGGCATCACAGTGAACAAGTGTGCAGTGAAATTAGTCAGGGAACCTTTTTAGATTTTTTAAAAATGAATTTTAAAAAGTGCTTTTTGGACCAAAATGGCACATTTTGGCCCCAATTATCTCTGAATTTCTACAATAAAAGTGAAGGATATTTTACACAGTAGTAGAGGGCATCACAGTGAACAAGTGTGCAGTGAAATTAGTCAGGGAACCTTTTTAGATTTTTTAAAAATGAATTTTAAAAAGTGCTTTTGGGACCAATTGTGCACACTTTGACCCCAATTATCTCTGAAATTCTACAGTAAAAGTGAATGATATTTTACACAGTGGTTGAGAGCATCACGGTAGGGTTGATCAAAACAATTTCCCAATTCCCGGGAAATGTTATGACGGGAAACGGGAAATGAAAGTTAAAAAAAAAATCCAGTGCGCTCCTATTATAGAGCACGTTTATTGTTGTTCAAAGTTCAAACATATTTAATTTACAATCAACATGTCTACAGCTGAGAGGATGGCTCATAAATTGTGTTTTTGACAACAAATATGGGTCTTAATCGCGCTAAACCACGACTTGTAATGAGGCCAGCCTCAGGGTACGGGGCACATGTGAGCCCAGAATTTGATTACGTCCAATTCTATCAGAAAGCTCCTTTCTTTTTTTCCATCTGCTAAGGGCAGCAACAGGTTTGGCTAACATACATATAACACATTTTAAGATCGTATAAAATGCATTTAGGGTAATGTTCTGCTTCCAATGACGATAGGAATGATAAGGAAGAGAGGAGAAGGGTAAGAAGGTTGATATTAGAAATTGGATGAGCCCGAGAGCCGGCTGCAGCGAAAACACAGGAGTTTATGGAGGTGGCACCCGTTTTGTTTTACGCTTTAAAACTCTTTGGGCTTATTTCCAAATGGGGGATTACATATCTGCACTCAAACTATTGAAATACTAAAAATATTGTGACGTTTTAGTCAAATAAGTCACGGGAGATAGAGTTTCTTTGCTCAACTCGTGCCACATACACCGCAAGACCCCGAGAAGGCAGTTTTATTGCAGTTTTAACATTAGACTGCATAACACACTGAAAGCATAGGACCCTATCAATTAACATGGTGAGCTCAGTCATGGTGTAACACTTAACAGTCAACATAACAATAAACCTGACAAACGGAACACTGCTGTGGCACGTTACATAACCCCCACCAGAGGGGGTTAGTCGTCCCCGACAACCCCATCACATAACACATAGTCTCTCAAGTGACCAGGTTGACGACGTTGGCGAATTGGGCGTCTGGGAGACAGATGACATGGGGGGCTTGGACAAGTAATCCGTCTACTTCACCAACAGTCTCAGGAGCATAGGGGCGGTACGGAGCTAGCCGGTCTCTGTGCAATACCACTAAACGGCCCTTGTTTGGCATGCGTACACGGTATACCACGTCGGACAGGCGTGCCACAACTTCGGATGGCCCCCTCCAATGACTGCACAGCTTAGGAGAGATACCTTTCTTTCGATCGGGGCAATAAACCCACACTTTGTCCCCAGGTTGGAAGGGCTGACCGCGGCAGTGACTGTCATAGGCCCTCTTCTGACGTACCCCGGAACTGGCTTGAACTTGGCGAGTATAGTCATGCACCACCCGCAGGTGCTCTCTGAGTCTTTGGAAATAGTCCATCTCGTGCCCTCCTGCAATCTCTGGCTCCGGAGGGCTCCCGAACACCAGATCCACGGGTGTGCGGAGCTCTCGACCGAACATGAGAGCAGCTGGGGTGCACTGACTGGACTCCTGGACTGCAGTTCGATAGGCCCAGAGGACGAGGGGAAGATAACGGTCCCAGTCACGCTGGTGCTTGCTGACCAGGATAGCAAGTTGGGTAGCCAAAGTCCGATTAAACCTCTCCACTAGCCCGTCACTTTGGGGGTGGAGAGGAGTTGTCCGCGTCTTCTTAATTCCGAGCAGTCTGCAAACTTCACTGAACACCTGGGATTCAAAGTTTCGCCCCTGGTCACTGTGAAGCTCAGAGGGCACTCCAAAACGGGTGAACATCTCATCAACCAGTCTTCCAGCTGTTGTGGCGGCACTTTGATCTGGTACAGCATAGGCTTCCGGCCACTTCGTAAAATAGTCCATGGCTACTAGGACGTAGCGGTTTCCAGTATCGGTCACAGGAAAGGGCCCAAGAATATCCACACCTACTCGTTCCATGGGAGCCCCGACCAGGTATTGCTGAAGGGGGGCATGTGAGCGCTGGGTGGGACCTTTCCGAGCAGTGCACAAATCACAGCAATGCACATGTATTTCCACGTCCTGTCGGCAGCCGGGCCAGTAGAAACGTCCCCTAAGCCGATGGAGGGTCTTGGAGATGCCAAAGTGGCCTGAGCCGATTGAGCCGTGCACACTCTGAAGGACCTGAGGTTGAAGTGAACGGGGCACTAATAACTGTAAGATGTCTTTGCCCTGCCCTGGAGCCCGCCACCTCCGGAACAGCAAGCCGTTACGAAGCTCAATGTTTCCCCACTGAGAGTAATAGGCCTTAATATCAGTGCCATGGGGGGAGACTGCCGGCCATTCAGGACGTCTGGGCAGTTCCAGCCACTTCCTGATCAGGGCCAGGGTGGTATCGGACTCTTGCAGTTGCTGCAGCTGTTCTGAAGACAGGTCATCAGGGGGGTTAATTGTGGCAGTGGAAACCCTAGGCTTGTCCCGATCCCGCTCTTCCTGGCGCTCGCAGTAACGACACTCTGCTATAACACACGGGCGTCGTGACAGGGCATCCGCATTATTGTGTTGTTGTCCAGGGCGATGTTGAATGTCAAAATCGTAAGTTTGGAGAACTTCCAGCCAACGAGCTACTTGTCCCTCTGGCTGCTTGAAACTTAAAAGCCAGGTCAGTGAGGCATGATCTGTGCGTAGGAGGAACTTGTTGCCGTGCAAATAAGGCGAAAATGGTGTACTGCCATCACTACGGCCAACAGCTCTCGGCGTGTGACACAGTAGTTCCTCTCCTCACGACTGAGAGCGCGACTGTAGTACCCCACTACTCGCTCTCCTTCGCCTCCCTGCTGTGAAAGGACAGCCCCAATTCCGGTGCCACTAGCGTCTGTGTCCACCACATAGGGGAGATCTACGTGCGGGTACGCAAGGATGGGCGCGGCTGTAAGGGCTGCTTTTAGCTGGTTGAAAGCAGTGTCACAGCTGTTAGTCCAAACGAAAGGCTTTCCTTTGTCCGTCAGGCGGTGTAGGGGCCCTGCGACAGAGGCAAAGTTCCTGACAAAGCGGCGATAGTAGGACGCCAGTCCCAAGAAACTGCGGAGGTCACGTGCGTTAACCGGGATCGGCCAATCCTGGACAGCCGCTACTTTCTCTGGGTTAGTCGCTACTCCTTCAGCACTGACCACATGACCCAGGAAAGTAGTCTTTCTCTGCAGAAGGTGGCACTTGGCAGGGTTCAGTCGCAGACCAGCGTGACAAATAGCACTGAAGACGCCGCTCAGGTGGCCCAAAGCTTTGCTGAAATCACTCGCATGGACCAGCAGGTCATCCAGGTACACCACACAATGGCTGCGAGGAATGTCGGCGAGCACCCGCTCCATGAGACGCTCGAATGTGGCCGGCGCATTGCACAGGCCAAATGGCATTACACGAAACTGCCAGAGTCCTTGCCCGAATGTGAATGCAGTCTTTGCCCTGGCCTGGGGGCTGAGCTCCACCTGCCAATATCCACTTCGCATGTCGAGGGAGCTGAACCAACTTGATCCACTAATGTAATCCAGAGCATCGTCGATGCGGGGTAGTGGATAAGAGTCCTTCTTTGTGACCGCGTTGAGACGACGGTAATCCACACAGAACCGCCACCCACCCAATCTCTTGCGCACAAGAACTACCGGAGCTGCCCAGGGACTACTGGATGGTTCTATTATTCCAGCCGCAAGCATTTTGTGGATCATGTCCTCTGCTAACTGTCTCTTTGAAAGGGCGAGCCGATGGGGCCTAAGGCGTATTGGGGGGGCCGAACCAGTGTCAATAGAGTGCTGGACAAGCCCAGTTTGTGTACAGTCCTCATCTCGAGCGGCAAAGATGTCCACATACCTGTCCAAGAGATGTCTCAACTGCTCTTTTTGACACTGATCTAGGCCCGCACTACTGCGCTGCCACATCTCTTTGACAGCATTCACAGTCTCCGTGGATGGGGGTGGTATGGCACGGGGACTGGCTGTGCAAGCGCCAGCCGGTGTTGGGGAGCGGTGATCTGCCGCCTGGACCGCTGCTGGGACCACCGCTGGAACCGCCACTGCTGGGACCGCCACATCTGGGACCACCGCCGCTGGGACCGCCGCTTCTGGGACTGCCTGGACCTCGACCGCCTGGACCTCGACCGCCTGGACCTCGACCGCCTGGACCTCGACCACCGCTGCTGGGACCGCCTGGACCTGGACTGCCTGGACCGTCACCGCTGGGACCGCTGGGACCGCCTGGATCTGGACCGCCACCGCTGGAACCACCCCCCTTGGACTGACTTTCCGGGTTCTCCGCCTCTTTCTTGTCCGCTTTTCAGGCTGGAGATCAACTGTGAGAGGCCCAAGAGTGAGGGTCGACTTCACAAGGTCAACAACAGCACCCCAGTGAACTAACAAGTCTAATCCAATGATCCTGTATTCGCGCTAACCAGAATTCGTGTTCCAACATTTGGTCTTGAACTTCAATCCGCACACTTTTTTTTCCTTGCATACCTGCCCTCTCTCCTGTGACAGTGGTGAGCTGCATGTGTGTTGGTGACCAGGAGGTGGAAAGTGGGCCTGTTGTACCAGGGAGTACTCCTGGCTGTACGAGCGAGATAGTGGACCCTGTATCAATCAGTGCACGACAGGGTTGGCCATCTACAACGCAATCCAAGTACAGTCCTTTTGAGCAACCAGGTTGGCCCACCACAGTGCATTGTCCTTGTAGAGGTGCAGGTTTTTGGGGTGGGGTCTTCCTCTCTACTCCACCCCCCGATCGTTTCCCGTTGGCTGTGGCTCCCTAGCTTTTGGGGATGGTGCAGGGCAGTTTCGAGCTAAGTGTCCGGGTTCATCACAGCGAAAACAGCGATCGGTGGCAATTCTGCGGCGTCCCCTGGGGGCTGGAGTACGGACCTGATAAACTTCTTCAACTCCGACTTCTTCATAATCCACTTGGCGAACTCGCTGCAGCATATTTGTGGCCCTTCCCAGGTTTGGCCGTGTGGAGAGCACTATCTCCGCCCGTTCAGCTTCCTGGAGAGCTTCATTCAGGCAGCGAGGGCGAGCTAGACGCACATATTGGCGTAGCCTTTCTGGGGTAAGACCTTGGAGAAATGCATGAAGTGCGAGTTCGTCACGTGCAGCAATTGGAAACTGTGGGTAACCACGCTGGGTATGGAATTGTATATTGGGCGCGAAGGTACCCAAGTTTTCCCCTTCCTTCCGATATAGGCCACTCAGCTGCTCCCTGCTCTCTTCCGCATGCAGGCGCTTTCCAAAGCGCCGTTCGAGACCAACCATCAGGGCCCGTAAATCTTGCTGATCCTCTAGGGACAAGTCAAGGAGAATTTGAAGGGCGACACCTTCTAATGCCAAGGCAAGGTGGGTGGCAGTTTCATTGTCGCTCCAGCCACTATGCCATGATGCTAGTCTAACTTGGGCAAGGAAGGGCTCTACTGGTGTGGTTCCACTGTACTTGGGTAGTTTAGCAGGGGTCTTTGGTGTAATCATCTGTCTTGGGGCATGTGTTATCACAGTTTGCCTCTGAGTATGTGCTGAGCCCCCCCCTAGTAAGTCATTCACTTGGACATTCTGCTCGATGTTGCCTGTTTGAGAGCTTATATCTTTCCTGACAGCCTCCAGGGGGCGTCGTGGCCTCACTATGCTCTGTTTACTTGAAGTGTGGTGTGGACTGGTCCTACCAGCCTCCAGGGGGCGCTGTGGTCTCTCTGTGCTCTGGTCCTCTGAAGCATAGTGTGGAGGAGTCCAATCAGCCTCCAGAGGGCGCTGTGGCCTTGCAGTACTGTACCCATCTGCAGCATGTCTCTCCTGAAATCTCTTGGGCTTGGCTCCTTCAACCTCCTCAAGAAGACGGCAATTTTCCAGTACTGCGCGTTCCAGCTCTTCAATCTCTCTCTCCATTTCTTCACTTTTTATGGGAATTATCCCACTTCTGACACCAATGTGACGTTTTAGTCAAATAAGTCACGGGAGATAGTTTCTTTGCTCAACTCGTGCCACATACACCGCAAGACCCCGAGAAGGCAGTTTTATTGCAGTTTTAACATTAGACTGCATAACACACTGAAAGCATAGGACCCTATCAATTAACATGGTGAGCTCAGTCATGGTGCAACACTTAACAGTCAACATAACAATAAACCTGACAAACGGAACACTGCTGTGGCACGTTACAATATTAAACCCTACATCACGGTGAACAAGTGTGCAGTGAAAGTCTTTGCAAAACTCTTTTTGCTCTTTTTTATGTTTTTTTTTTTAAATCGCATTTTGCTTGCTTCTCGTCGCGGCTTCCCGTTCCACGTTTACCGTAAGTAACAGCATAAAGGAGCCAACCGCTTTCAAAGTGCGGACCTCTTTACCGCTGCCGACGAAATGCAGGGCCACTTTACCGCGGTCCAGATGGCTAGGCAAGTGTTCTTTTGCCGAATGACTGACATGTTTAAGTAGCCAATAAGGAAAGCAATGGGTGGGACATGGGGGAACTGGGTTGATTTGTGTCAGTAGAAGCCGTGCGTAAAGGCAGCGAGAGAGACTCTCTCGGAGCAGCGCATATATTATATGTAGGGCTGGGCGATTAATCGATTTTAATCATTAATTCGAGTTTTACGTTTAGGGCGATTTCTTTTTTAAAAAAAATGATTTTTATTTTCTCCAGCGCAGAACTACAGCGCTAACGCGCTAACCGCGGGTCTATGGTGTTGAGCAGTCATTTTGAAGCTAACCTAATGCTAACAGTCTCCCTCTGGCCTGATGCTCGCTCTCACAGTTGGTGCTATTGCAATAACACTTCAAGACTCAATAACGTTCAAGAATCAGACTTTATTTAATCGCCAAAACACACACACACACGCACGCAGGCTCCGGTCGCTATGTTCGTACGCCATGTTCGTACGCCACATCTTTCACGCTCTCTCACGCTCGTTATTCCAAAGCGCACTCCCGTGTCCGTGGCGCGCACACACTCGTGTCCCACTGAGCCGCTGCACTTTGGGGAAAGACACGTCTCACACATTGCTCTCATTGCTCTGATACAAACAACGTGTTCCCCGCTGTCTGTTAGCTACAGTAGCTGCTACAGTAGCTGTTAGCTACAGTAGCTGCTACAGTAGCTGTTAGCTACAGCGTTAGAATGTAAACAGGAAGCTCGCACAATGCGGGAGTCACTGAAGTTAGTATTAGCGCCACCAGCTGGACCGAGCGTTGTACTACAGCACAGTTACTCAGGCATAGTTGAAAGAACAAGCATGAAAACCCGAGGAGGCTTTTGGAAAAGACTGTCTGTTACAACATTTCTATTTTGAGTAATCAGTTTTAAAAATGTGATATTTCATGTAAATAATGCATGTGTTTAATAGGATTGATATATTTGCGATGGGCCTTGTTTGTGTGATTTAAGTTATTTTGAAGGTGCATAGTGTCATTGTAAGTGAAGTTATTATAAAACTGTTAAGCTACATTTTCACTGTTTACAATGGCAGAGCCATCTCGTTTACAAGCATGTTTTAAGGCTTAATTCCTGTTACACTTATGCTCCATGGGGATTTAGATTAAACTGCATAAAGGAAAATCTATTTCTTTGTCAGTTGTAGTTTGTTTTTAAATAGAAAAAAATAAATCGATTAAAATCAAAAATCGGATTTGGTGTGAAAAAATTGGAGATTTTTTTTTTTTGCCATATCGCCCAGCCCTAATTATATGCAAAAAAATCACACAGATTTGTAACTTATAAGTACCAAAAATAAAAAATAGGTTTTTATGATGATGAAATGTCAGTTAAGCAATTTGGCACAATTTGGCACAAAGTGTGCCAAATTGGTTTCCGAATGGCACTACTTGATGAAAAAGAGAAACTGCATAAAAACTATCAAACTTAAAAGTCTGAAACTTTAGGCAGGTTTTTCCAACGACACAATGACCATAGGGTTTGAATATTGTGAGCTTACAATGAAGTATGCCTTTTTTAGGGCCTTTAGAAATGGAACGTTTTAGAAGAGGCTAAAAAATTAGGTTTTTTTTCCCAAACTTCAAAGGATGCAGAGTGAAATAGGAATGACATACATTATTTTTGTGTATATTTAAATAAACTAGAAGGCTCTAGCTTTAATATGATGCATCACACAAGCATGTGAGATGTAACATGTGTTTTTAAATAAGCAAAGACATTTGGGTATGCCCAACTTTTGTGCACAAGCCAAAATGAGGCGGGTGTTAAGAGAGTGGGTTTGGAGCTTCCATTACATGGGAACTAGGTCACTATGCCTACTCGCTCATTGACTCTTTTGAGTGACTATTGATTTTCTGGCTACAGCAATGACTTCATTAATATCACCATTAGTCTGCCATCTGACACAAATGGAGAGCTTGGTTGTTTTGCCAGATATACATTCAAGTTGAATTCCTGGATTGGATAATTGAAAAATGAAATGGGAACATTATAACGAGTTGTCATCTGTGTTTAAAGCAAAGCACACAAAAAAACACACAAAAATGAGTGTCAACTTAACTACACCAAGCATGCAACATTAAACATAATTCATCTCTCAACATTCAATTTAAAGTTAATCTGTGAGATGAGAAAAAAATTAACGGATCACTTTACAGCAGGATTTCAAAACAAAAAACAATGAATTGGGGATTATTTTCTCTTTAATCCTGTGGCACCAGCTTAGCTAAAACAAAACCATGGCCATGGGAACACAGGGCGATGAAAAGGCTCTCTTCCAGGCACAAATATGCAATGAATGGATATGTGGGTAAAAGAGAGAAAAGAAATGGAATTTCAGATCTATATTGAAACAGAAAATAGGTTTTAAAGATTAGCGACAGCAACAGGACATGTGAAAAGGTGTGTGCTCCTCTGTAGCACAGTGGCCTTCATGAAAGCTGTAATGTCAAAAATTGACTTGATTGTTCAATATTTTTTAGTCAGTGAACATGTGAAACTGAAGAATGTATTGATGTAACCAGGGACTGCAGATGGAAACTAGCTGTTTAGCTATAATCTGGTGCAGAACATATCTGTCTTTGAGCTTAATGTCTCTGTACACTGTCCCTTCAAATAAAGACTAAACTAAACTAAACTAAGAAAGATTATGTATAATAATAAAATGCAATGGGTAATGTACTGCTATTTAAAAGCATTAAACTCTGTGTCCGTTCATGTTCCTCTTCTCAACTTCTTTTTCAACAAGTATAACTAGGATGGTGAGTGGTCCCCTTTTCCATGGTAAAAAGGATGACTAAAATGTCTATGCTGACATTTTCATGTCTTGATTTATGTATTCTGATATATATAATAAAATCAGGTGGTCAGAAGATATTCTGTAGTTGTGGATTTGAAATGCCAATATTACTATTGCTAAATGCCGATCTTACTATTTGAATTATTAAATTTCTCTCAGAATTAATAAAGGCAAAGAATTCCTCCATGTGATATCCATATATGGGGCACTCATGACAGGGCACTGACCATTATTAAGCCATTGTTTGTATCCAACATAAAGTAGTAAGAGCAAGCCTACTCTGGCCCTGTGCCTTCATCACACCCAACCTTTCAATAACAGACAGAAGTGATCCACCCTTCAGCTGCATCCACCCTGCCAGTAAAAGGACAGCAGAGGAAAAAGCCCCCCAGGGCCCACTGAGGATGGACTCATGAATCAAACATGTGCCTGAAGCCTCCTTCTTATCGCCGGGGTCAGGCGAGGCATTAATACACCGTGGCTCCAGGGAGCTACCAACTGTGACCTCCCCCTGTCTCCCCCAACAGAAGGGCACAGTCTCCACGAGCCAGACCAGGAAGAGAGACCTCCCTCCCAACACAGTCACTTCACATTACATTCACACTCTGAGACGAGGAACAAAAAGAGGGTCCACAACAAGCATGAAAATATAATATATATATATATATCGGGAGCAGTGTGAGAAAAGGGACTCTACATGATTGAATTGAATGTGTGTACAGGCCCTTTCAAACACCACCAATCTTCATTGGCCAGATGGAGGTGATGTATGTGAGTGTCTGCCAGCGTAAATTAGGCAGTCCAGCCCGCTGTGTGGTAAAGCATGACAGGGCCGGACACTGCACTAACTCAGGAGGCCTGGTGCCACGCACAGCAGCCTCTCTCTGCTCCAACGTGCCATAAATCATCAGCTGGAGGAAATGAATCGCTGTCCGTCCAAGCTGGACGCACCAGCTGGCACCACCATCACCTGACCAGCAGGAGCTCCTGCCCACATGAGCGGCTGGAATCAAGAAAAATGATGCATAGAGGCAGACAGAGCCCCAACCCACACGCTCTCATTAGTCTCCTCGGGCTTCCTTCACACTGAGCACTTGTGAAGTGAAAGGGCACACAAAATTTATTTCAGATGTCACCTGAGGAAGAAAAAAAGAGGAAATGATCACCCCTGGTCTACCCACAAATCTATGGAGTAGTGAAGTGGCAACAGTGTTCTCAATCCTGGGCAATGGAAACGCCATGCTGAGATGTACAAGATGTTATTATTATTTTATTTTTGTACCAAAACAAATGCTTCAAGTCAATTGGGACACAACTTTGTATTCAGATGTAGTGAACAGAAAGTATGTTGATGAATAGAGTTTAACTTTTCAGTATTGCTGAGTTGCTGGTGGAGGGCCCACTTAAATGCTGACCGCTGCGATTATGAGAAGCTGTGTGGGCGTCAAAACTGAAGCACTCATCAGGAAAATGGGTTGAAAGAACTTCAATATACAACCCAAACCCTTTCTATTTCCATAAACATATTCCCATTATAGTAACCCTTAGCCGTCATAGTGATTCTACATGTCTATCAACTTCAGCTGCCTTCAAATCTGTGTCTAGCACTCAAAACTTCCTGGATTCATGCAAATGGAGTTCATTCAGTGAGGTTCCCCTGGCTTTCTAAAGCATCCTTTCCAGCTGCCAACAGATTGCTGCTCAAGGGTGAGCCCTTGAGTTAGCCCACCCAGGCGAAAGAGTAAGGAGGAAGTTGTTATTACTATTACTACACTGCCACACTGCTCCTCAAACCAGCTAAGTCCTTGCATACTATAAAAATCCCAATTCAAAAATGGTTTCATAATGCCCAATAGATATCAACCACACACTAACTATTTCACATCTCCAATGTATCAATTTTCCATTATTGGATATTGCTGATACAGTGGCTATTTCCAGCCAACTGTTGTGCCAACAGTTTGGCTATTACCTGATCTGGAAACATTGTTAATGTGCTGGTGGACAGTGCAATCACCTCTGTGTGGGAGGGGCAAGAGCGGTGTGGGTTGAGGCCGAAGCTACAGGAGCCTTTCACACTATAATGTGTAATTAGGAGCCATTTTGGAATGCTGCCTTTGTGCGCTAAAATTAGGCTGCATTTATTATGTTCCTTGCCACCACGGGTCTTTCCCCATCAAACACTGTTATTAATTACAGAACAGTGGTAGGGAGTAAGTGTTTGCAGGTCTCAATTATTATATACATAAATTATAAAAATGTAGATGCATAGTATCTTTTTACATATGTCAAGAATGGTCTGCATGAATACCAGTTCACTGTGACCTCAGCACAAAAATGTTTTCACAATTCTAGTATAAAATAAGTGCACAATCACAGCCTTACCATACGTATATTTTACTGTGTTGTATAATAATAGCGCAGGTTTTTTTGGTTCTGAGAATTGAAAGCCAAAGTATTGTAGGTACTGTACACAAGTGTTTTATAATCACATTTTAATATGATTTAACAGATGGCAACATGACATAAAAACTGGTTTGAAATGATTAGCTATGCTTTTAAGTTAATTAATGAATTGTGGTGAGCCAAGCTTCAGATAACCATTAGGCTTAAGTTCTACGTGCTTTATTTATTGTCAAGTCTGTGTGACACGGTATGATGTTGTGTAAAGGCAAATGCTTCAAATGTCTCAAATAAATACAATTATAAAAACAATCTGTCAATTGTACAAGAAAAATATATTTTACTTTTTCACTTATGTACATACAAAAGCTTGTACTTCTAAGTTTTAGTCTAAGTGTATGATTGCAATGCTTCTAAAGAGTTGATTATTTGACTATCTATACTTTTAGCATCTAAACTTGTACCTAAGATTTTCAATCCTAGCGCAACTTCTTTGTGGCATTATCTGTGAATGATTGAGGAAAGAGTCACACAACACTATTGTTGACAAAATGTCAATGAAAGGTCAGTGAAGGCTTCAGTGCTCTCATCAGCAGCAGTTAAACAGTGACGCAAAGAACTGATCAGATCAGCACATCCTGTGTCAGTCTGAATTACAGCTTAATTAATTCATTGTTTATTTAATAAAACAATTCTTTGCAAGTTTTGGTTTTGGCTTTTGCTGCTGTAGCTAAAGAAAGGGGAGGAGGAGAGGCAAACAGTTTAGAGCAAGTTTGGTATTAAGAGTTTTACCAATGCATTTGTACAACTACAGGTTTTAAGATAAATGAGACTGTTGGCAGAGTCTCTTAAGTTCTGGCTCACTGGACAGAGTTCACTGCAGGGGAGTCCCCTGGGAGCTCGACATGGCGGGTTTCAGAAGGGTTACTGGACTGTGCTGCTGTCTCCGGCTGTGAGCTCCACTGGGGACCGGAGCAGAGGTGCCTGAAGATGCACTGAAGCCTGAGCCTGGCACCTGGGCTGTCTGTCACAACCACAAACATACGGGGCGGTGACACCTGACAGGACGGGAGGTGAGGCTAAAGCTGCACAAGTCAAGAGCCATCTGACACAGTATGAGATGTGCAGTTCAGTGACACACCTAAAGGTATTTCACTGCATTTTTTTGGAAGTTAAGTTGAATTAAACTTATGCCTTTACTGACTACTTGCCCCTAAAGTCATGGTTATTTATTATGTCCATACACAGTCTGATTTGGCCACACAAATAATGACCTCAAAAAGGGCCTCTGTAATCTAAGTTTTGTATTGCTGGTAAAGTTTATTTTATAATTAATAGAAAAATTTAGAATATTTTATATCCTATAACATTTACTCCTTGTGCAATAACTGTTTTCCTATAATTGTGTTTTATGAGGCACAGGTACTGTATTTGCATAGTATAATTTGATACAAGATCCAATATTATTAGCAAATAACACACTTAACCGCACGTTGCCTGAAGCTCCCGCTGAAACATCAAGGCTGTGGCACCACTTTTGTACCAGCCATCTTCCTGTGGACTCACTGCCTGCAGAGGATCAGTGAGAGACTGGTGCTATGAGCATTAGAGCAGCTCTGATTGTCACCCCCCTGACCCAGAAATGGACTAAGAAAAGGGTAGAAAATGAATGACTGAATAGGTTCTGTCTAAATCCAATGCATTATATGTGTGTTATTACAGTGGTTCCTATCATCCACCACATCACACAGGTCTCGTGTGAAACATGGACAGTGGCTGTGTGAGAACCGGACAGGCACAAAGCAGGGAGACTCGGGACCTTGAAGGAGATGTCAGAGGGAGGCCGGAGTCAGTCGGCTGAGTGAGCGATGGTCTGCACGGTCGCCTGAAAGCATGACATTGCCGAAGGGGGAAAAACACCATTTTATCATTCAGTGCGATTCTCACCCTCTCTCCCTGTCAAACATGCCATATGTCCCCGTCATAGGTCGTCCTACTGGCTTATCGAGTGTGACAGGGCTATTCACACACTGCTCCCAATCAGACACCATCTCCTGCAGAAAAAAAAATCACCAGCACCGCAGTGACAGGCTGTCAGGCAGAGGGCACCAACCTCCACAGGACCCTGGCTTAGGGGCTGCCCATCTGAGGAAGGGGCAACAGTCAGAGGTCATGCGGGAGACACCAAACTGCACCCACAAACACCATTACGCCAGTATATTACATTACTAACTTACTTTTGAGATACATCGAGAATAATCTCTGCTGATAGAGGTTCATGAAAATCTTGCTCATAATAAAATGCTTTCACAAAGGTATAATAGTCTTACTCATATACATTTTGAACCTAGAGTTTTGGCTCAATTTAAAGATATTATTTCAATGGATTATACTTTTAAGTAAAATTGTTTTTTGTATAAACTGAATAGTAATAAAGAAACTAAAGTGGTATATAATAAACCTCACACTACAACCTGGTCATCACTATCTTATTTTCCTACTCGATAAAGTCCAATGTTATGCGACTTATCTACACTAAGTCAGGACACAGAGAGGGCAATGAGTGGAACCAGAAGTCCCTCTTTCTGTGCACTTTTGGAGTCAGGAAATGTTTACTTTTAAATCAAGAAGACTCTCGGTGGAACTTGAATTTCAACTCAATAACACCACAGATGCTGAATATATTCACTAACTGAGCAATCAGGAGAAAAGTGGTCTGAAAATTACACTTATCCCCCAGAGATGACATGCATAGAGAAATAAATCAGAGTGCAAGAGGGGCAGAGGGTAGAAGTGCTATCACCTGATCTGTCTTATCTTTAAAAAGATGTGTCACCTCCACTCTTCAGGGAAAGAGATGCACCCCTCCTGGCACATTTTTATAGAAAGGATTTCTGTGAAATGATTGCTAATCTATGCAAAAAAGCAATCAGTAACTCATTCATAATGCATGAGCATCAAGATACCAATTTTGCAACGCTTTCAGATTATTAGATGTTATCATGAATGCAGCAAATGAAATATGAACCCTCCTACCTGTCCCATTGTAATTACACAGATGCAGAGGCTTAGAAATACAGGTGGAGACTTGAGAAACAACAGACTCACGGCAAGAAAAGGAAAGTGAATTGAAAATTAATTATGTCTAACTACAGATTTCATTGAAGGAGAATATTTGTTTCGACCAGCTTTATGTATCCATTTGTAGGATGATTTATCAACCTCAACGCTGTGCTTGAAGTACATCTGGCTGACATTTTAATAGTCCATCAATCACAGTGTCTTGAGATAACATTTTGATTATGCTCCCCCAACAGCAGAAAATTAAAAGGTTAAAAAAAGAAAAAGAACTTAAATGAATTGGCTGCAATCCCAGGAATATTATAAAAATCTATTTCTAATTCAACAGGGATTCAAAGAACATTAGATGAGTCGTTTATTAATTCATGCATTTTTTTGCATAAACCTTAATGCACTGCATGCATCACTGTGCCAGTTTGCATGTGTGACAATTAAACCCATTGCTGCTGATTACAGACTCAACCTTAAATTCTTGCCATAATCATTAATAGCTAGATTATTACACATGTTCACTGCATAAAAAGGATATTTGAACAGAATACTTTTCTTTTAAACAAACACTAAATTGAATTGACGATTACCCATAAACACAGATGAGGACATTGCCAAAAGACTGACCCAATACTGACATGCTCACATGTGTAAAATACATCTCTGTCCATGTAAATATTTCCAGGAATGTTCAATAGAAGGGCAGTAAACTTATCCACTTACTTTAGAGACAACCAAGTGACATTAAATACAAGCAAGAGATTAAGTTTATTTATGGAAATCATGGAACTTAAATTGTGTTCTGTCCTCACACACAGAACATATAACCGTTGAGGAAACATTGAAATATGCTCAAAGCTCAGGCTAACCACCAGTACTTGTTTATTACTCGGACAAGCTAATCACATTTTTTTGTAATCCAAAAGATATAAAATACCTCTATTAGACTGTTATTCATGTTAAATAAGGAACACAAACCTGGATGGATCTAAAATCAACTCCAGGTCTGATTTTGACGTCGCATAAGGTGCTTCCTTTAAAGCAGTGTCTCCCAAAGTGGGGTCCGCGGCCCCCTGGTGGGCCGCGAGGGTACTGCAGGGGGGCCGCGGGAGGTCATAAAAAAAATATATATATATATAATTATTTAATGTTAAATTTATAATGTTTTGTTTGTAATATTAAAATATTTGTGTTCATTATTTGACTTGAATAATCCACAGTAATCATTTTTGTATTACAATGTTTGTAGCAGAGGCTATTTCCCCAAAATAAAATAACCAGAAGAGCCTATTCTTAATGTTGTCTTCTTGGTTATTATTTTGGGGGGCCACGCAGACCCGTCAGATTTTTAAGGGGGCCTCGGTGTTACTGAGTTTGGGAATGGCTGCTTTAAAGGATCTGAAAGTAATATGAAACGCCTTTTACCGAACCTTTCTAATTTTGACTCTCCCCCTCCATCCTTGACCCCCTTCTCTGACTCCTGTAATCTGAAATAATCTGAGCTGCTGTGGTTTCTATTCATCAGAGCAGATAAAAAATACCATGTGGGCCTCCCAGGGGTGAACCAAGTGAGAGGGAGAGGCGGTGTGTCCCTCTTGTCCACCCTTGTCAATGCCATTTCAATTGAATAGCACAGTGGTAATTAAATTCCAGCAGGGGTTAAGGGCGACTGTGTGGTGTACTGACGGGGGGCAGCCCTGACAAAGATGACACAATTCAAGAGGACAGAGGCGGATGCAGTGTGAAATATAGGAAGGGTGACTAATGTGTTTGTTTTTTTCAGCAGTATATATGAGTTTGAGAGATAGACATATAATTAATTGAGCCTAGATCTTTTCCTTCAAGTGCATTGTATGTCTCCTGCATCATGAATGACAGGTGCATGTATCATAAGCTATTTCTGTAGTTGTAATTGACAGAGGAAATTAGCATCTACTCACATAATGCCATTGTCATTCTGATGTGAGACTCAACATACCAAGGCATGTGATACGCAAGCACAATAAAAGATCACACACAAAATGAGCACATTATTTAAAAGCTCAGTGATGAGGTGGAGAAACCAAGTGTCAATGCTCATTTGTGACTCACGGAGAGACGCTGGTTCATGATTCATATTTCACACTAATCCAGAGGCTCTAGAGAAGCCATTAAGTCCTGTGGCTTTGTCCTCATCCATATTCTGTTAGCACAAGTAAAAATACATGAGTGCACCCTTCAAATTATGTTTATATTATTGAATGAACTTACTAATTGAAGCTAAATAAAAGATTATAATGTGTAAAACTACAAATAATTGCGTCATTAGGGTCATACATATAACTTTGCTGCCATCTATTGGACAAAACGAGCACCACAGAAAGCAAATATTTTAAAAACGCATTTTACATGATAACCATCAATTACTTGAACAAATAGGTATGTTACAGATGTTTTATTGATGCACATAGGATAGGACTGCCATATTTGAGTGCTTAAATTACAATTAAAAAATAGATTAAATATATGTATCCAATAGAACTTGGTTTAAGGATGGACAATTGTTACTAAAATGCAAACACTATGATAATGAAAATATTTGTATTGTATGCGCAGCCTAGTGCTGCTTATTGGATATTATTCATCTAAATGAATAGCCCAAAGAGTATCAATGCAGTTGTCCAAATCTGAAATAAACATAAACATTTTATGATGTCTGCATTAAGTCCAATCTTTAGCTCAGTAACGGTTCAAAATCTCTAAAACATCATCCTTAAGTGAATGTAGCGAGTGCTGCTGAACACCTGGGCCACCAACACTTGTTTCCCAGCAATCAAATCCACAGTCTCTTAGATCTTGGACCGTGTCTTGGACTACAGAAGCACTGGTTTCTACAGAAAAAGGGAAAAGCAAATGTGGCTTAGAAATAAAAAAGAATGAAAAGTTTCTCAAAACAGATTTATATTACTGGAATTCAGTATTCCAGTAATAAAAGAATTATAGGAAAAAATAAGACTATAGATAAAATCAGTGTATATCAATAGTATCATAAACACAGTATGTTGTTTTAGGAGCTTACCCGGTCTGAGAAGTGTGATGCCACAGCCTCCGCCTCCTGCTCCAGTGAGTTTGCTGTGGAGACCTCTGGCGAGTGTGACGCGACACAACGTGTCCAAAGCAGGATGTCCTACTCCCATAACATTAAGGTGGTGTTGATTAATGTCAATGAGCTCCTAAAAAAAATGAATAAATAAAACGAAAAAAAACCTGAATCTATTATGATTGATACTAATGGGTTGTTTATTGATTGGAGTATACAAGTATAAGTATAAGTACAAGTATAAGTAAGTTTAGTATCCATTTAAAATGTGTAACTTTGTACCTCCAAAGTTTTGTAGTGCTCTGCTGTAATTGGCTCATGGGTCATTTCTGAAAGTACTTTTTCACATGTGCAGGAAATGGCATCCACAGAGTCGAGCACAGGGCACATAATTGAGGGAAACTGTTTTGAAAGTATAAACAAGAGAATGTTAGAGCATAGACCTCACACTCAAAACAATAAAGATGTCCAAAGAGCGAGGTAAAGAGTACAACATTCCTAAAACTCTACCAATTGTGTTGTCACAGTCTTTAGCTGGAGGCAGACAGACATAGACGTTAACATTTTGAACCACTTGTCTTCATGTAGTGCTATGTGGTGTAAACATCCAATGGGCTGCATCTGGCCCACGGGCCAGGGTTTGCTTTGCTCTAGTCTATGGATTCAACAGACAGAAATGGACAGACACTACATATTTTCACTTACGGTCCCATCATAGAAAAAAAATACTAGTTTAGTTTTAATGTGTTGCTGTTAGAATTGTTTTATGATCCCAATAGATGTCATTTATAAAAGAGGATTTTGTTACAAATCCAATCTTAAAACGCACAAGTCTCTCTTTCTGCCTCCAGCTAAGGGAGGAGCATGAATGTTTACACATTTGAGGGTGTCTATAATAATCTAAATGTGTAACGAAAAGAAGAAAATGTGTTGAACCTTATTCATTTTTTCTTTCACGCTAGCTACAAGTACTTTAGTGCTACGAGGTACTTTGGTGTTTGTCAGTAGAATTCTCAAGAGTGGTACTCTGAAAAATAAACCACACATTTACTTTATACATCAAAAACGAAAACACAAATTTTCTAAAATACTGTCCGAATGCTTGCCTGCTTAGTGGTATAATTTTCCCTGAGAGAAACCTCAACATTCCACCTACAAAAAGATAAGGAATTGAAGGAAAGACATTTTTTAAAAAGACTTTTTGTTTTGAGAAGAGCCAACCCACCCCACGTTCCAACTGCATTGTCTACTCCTGAAGGATTACCATGAATGATCTTCTCTCCTTGAAATGCCCAACTATTGATTAACTCTAGTTCCTCCTGACACCATCTGCAACAGATTATGTGGAAGTTAATAATTCCTCATATCCCATTAAATTACAGTTTATATCATGGTACTACAGCCATTTGTATTACAATAACTTTTTTTTTTAGATTTAATAATGATTTTTTATTTTTATTATTATCACATTACCTGGAGGTGTTTTCCCATTCTTTGAGGGGAGCAGTAATGCCTCCACTTGCGCAAAGGAGAGCAGCAGCCAAACAAACAGAGAAGGCGGCACTAGATCCCAGTCCAGCTCCAGTGGGAAGTTCAGACCAGACAGTCACATTCAAGCCAGGTAGTTCACTAAAAAAATATACAGTAAGTGTAATGTCTTCAAACAATAATGAAGCAGCCACCCAGACTTACCTTGTACCAAACATAGAGATGTACACATAAAGAAATGCTAGAGTGGCCATATTGGATGTGTCCATGTTTCCATTTTTTACACCAACAAATTCTCGCAAACACTCCACAAGTTCAGAATTCAGGAGGTTGCCTTCCTCTTTTTTTCCTGAAAAACACAAGTGAGAAATTGTATAATAATACAATAATAAAAGCCTATAATAATTTGTGTTTTGAGTAAACAATCAATGTGTCTCTCTCACCACCATAATCAGGAACCAGTAACTTCAGTTCTGTCAGATCCCAGCACAGAAAGGTGTCGATATTAGGGAGGTTTATGTGAACTTTACCATCTGTGGTAGCTTTTAATCTCAAATATGTTCTGAGATTTAAACTGACAGCAAGGGCCACCTGGAATGAAGCATTAATTATAAGATAAGATAAACCTTTATTTGTCTCACAGTGGAGAAATTTCAGTGTCATCGTTACGCACATTGAGACAGGCCTCCTCTCTGACAATGTTTAAAAGACAGTTCTGTTTAACTGTGCATACAACTGAGGGATTTTATATTTTTATCTTTCTTTTTAATGTTCTGTGATTATTTATGATTTTAATGCTTTCTTGTTTTGTTCAGCACTTTGAATTGCCTTGTGTATGAATTGTGCTATATAAATAAACTTGCCTTGCCTTGCCTTGCCTTGCCATTACAGCAGAGAAAGAAAGAAATAAGAGCACTCAGATTGCACACATCAAATAAGTCTATTATTTAAGATAATAGACAAAAAAATTAAGATAAAGAATAAAATAAAATAAAATAAGATAAACTCTGGGGCTATAATTGCACTTAGTTGGTTCAGAAGTATTTACAGATGTCTATATTGTACTTTAGCAGCTGAGAATATGAGAATATGAATATGAGCAGAATAAACATCAGAAATAATATCAACAGGTAAGTGACTGGTGAATAGCAAAAATATCAGATGGATATGTAATAATACAGTAGTACTGATAACAGGCAAAGTGACTAGTGACAAAGTTACTAGTGAATTATCAGTGACATTTGTACAGACTCAGCAGTTCTTGTTACACATTCTCGTTGTACAGTCTGACAGCAGCAGGGAGAAAGGACCTGCGGAACCTCTCCCTCACACAGCGAGGATGAATTAGTCTGTTAATAAAAACTAAGTTTGCTTTCATGGATGAAAATAATGATACCTTTCCATGCACAACAGCATGCTCTCCATGGAGTATTGTTTTCCCTGGGGCAGACAGGATGCATTCCTTTACGAGCATCACTGCAGTATACGACACTGAGAAAACAGGTGACTGGGTCCAGAAATGCACCGCTTATGTTATTAGCAAAACTAAAGAACGCTAGCTACTTTTAGCTCAAGTTAATCTCCCGCGGCTCCAACGGAGGATATCTTATGATGAATATATATTTGTCCGTACAGAAACACGAGACTATTAAGACCAGTATAGAACGTAAACCATTCAAATAACCCGTAATATCATTTTGACGGTCTAGAAACTCTCAATCGCACCAAAACAGTGGGACGGGGAACGAGGGAATGGTTTCGTCCAATCAGAGAAGAGGCTCTTGATGTCACACTGTTTACTGAGAGTCACGTGATCACACCACACAGCCGCGCCATGCCCGCCCCCAGAGTATAGGCACCGTGCAGGGACAAAACTGTGTCCGGAGTTTGCGCTAACTGCACTAAGCTAACAACACTAGCTTCATCACATAACTACCATCAGAATGACATCTGCAATAAAATCCGGGCGTATTCTTATCGGCATTGGCAGGTTCATCACCGCGTATAGGAGCTGCGGAGTGATAGCTTCAAAGAGAAAGTACTGTTTTATTTTTATTAACTAACTGTGTGATTTTAATGTAAATGATTCAATGATTTTATAATTACCCTAATATTATTTTTCAAAGTTACACCAATGAGGGGGGCAGCAAAATACCCAAAATATACACTAAAACTGGAGATAAAGGTGATCACAATGTTATAGCGCAACCAAGGTTATAATGTTGTGGAATACTCCCATCTATAAATTATCTTTCATTGTTTTTCAAAGGGTATTCCAGCACTTTCACTGGGGAAAGACGACCAAAGGAAAACCAGGTCTTTGACGCATTGGGAAACACAGACGAACTTTCATCAGCCATTGGGTAATCCCATGGATCTATTTTAGGGTAATCCCCATAGTTGCAATAATATTGTTGTTGTTATCTAACAAAATCTGTTACATTACAGTTTGGCCAGAGAATATTGTCTTGAAAAAGGACACGCGTTCACTGACCAGCTTGACAAGGTCGATTTCACACATTACAATACATTACATTACTTTGCATTTGTGTTAAATACTTCCTTATTCTTTTGAGCAGATACAGTGTACTTTACAAGATGTGGGTTCTAACATTGCTACACCTCCATCATCAGCAAGAGACAGTCACATAAGTGAGAACTTGGTTGTTTGATAGTCTAAAAAAATGGGTTTTTACATCTAATTGGTTTTTAGAGAAAACACAATTTACCAATTCATCAACTGCGGATTTGGAAAACTGGATAGACCAATTTACAGAAGAACTTCCTCCTCTAACCAATTTTATTCTACCTGTAAGTGCTTTCATAATTATAGCTTTTTAAAACATTTATTATATTGAATTGTTGTTGCATCACAGTCTGGAGGAAAGAGCAGCGCCTCTTTGCACTTAGCTCGGACAATATGCCGAAGAGCAGAGCGCAGGTCATACAAGATATTTTCAATTGGTCTGTTTTTTTTCTATTATTTCAATAGTTTGTTTTTGTTTGTCCAGCGTGGCTCCAATTGTGAGGTCTGGGGAGGCAGATCCAGGTGTTGCCAAGTTTTTAAACAGGCTAGTAAAATTGCTTTACAAGAACACATCTTTTATAGTAGAGTCATAACCCACAGTTTATCTATATTTTATTTTCTATATTTTGTTTCATTTAGATTGAGCGATTACCTTTTCACTGTAGCCAGATATGCAGCAATGAAAGAAGGACAAATGGAAAAAATCTACAAGAGGCCTCAATAACCAAACGACCTTAATAGAGAGGTAAATACATGTTTTTGACTTGTTTTTTGAAACAACTCAATTATCTCAATTATTGTTCTATCTCTTATTACATTATTACATATGAGAGTAACAATGGGGCAATTGCAGAATGCCCAAATAAGGAAGTTACAATTCCGTTAAGAAAATTGAAGCAACTGTTCTCCATTCATAATAAAACAATAAATAAACTAACAAAATCTCTATTCTTTCTATGAAAAATATGCAAGAAAATTCATTGATTACACCAGCACAAGTTACTTTGCGTTCCATGCAATGAAAACAGCTCTACTAACATATCCAGAGCGACTGTTGGAGGGCAACGGAGAATAATATTAACAAAACTTCAGACAGGGTGCCATACACTACTAGAACAGCTAACTATGTCAAACTGGTTACTTCTTTTATTAAGACTCCTTTTACACATGGTGGTTACACATGTTTACTGTATTATGATGTCACAAATCAACATCTTTTCTTTACACAGAATCTGGCACCAATCTGCTCCTGGACAAAGCACTGTATGCTGTCGGTGGCACAGTCAATACAGATACTCAAAGTCGCAATATGTAAGATTATCATGTCAAGTGATCATTAAATGGCCCTATGACAAAAGTCATTATTAAACCATGCTCTTTTTGAATACTTCTTTAACTGATAACAGTAATTCAGCTGAGATATTAGAATTTCAAAATTTGATTTACAGCCCCTAAATCTTGTTATTGTTTTCATTTTGACATCCCGCCCTCCACCGTTTTACCAGTCAGAAAGTCCGTGAGCCGGGTAGATTTGTTGTTGTCAAAACTCTTGTCTATTCAGATATTATTATTATGGTCCCAGCTGGATTCGTCTGCATATCTGGCAACCTGAGTCAGGGAGAGGGGGAGAGGTTGCAGTAAAGCTTTTGGAGACATTTTTACTTACTGTTCCTCTAAAAACAACCATGATTTATTTTGTTGTGAATTAATATATCAAAGCTGAACCTTTCATAATACGAATGTGGCATTTGATTAGGGTAAATATATCCGTAGGGTAACACCATTTTGTGGTAAAAAAAATTCTCGGGACATTTTCCAACTAAATGAGGTAGATAGTTCTAATTGCAACTCCATTGCAACATGTTTACACTTTGTAATGCAAAAAGTTCACAGATGTTCAAAATTAGTGTTGGTGTGTGTGAGTTACAAATGTCTGCAGTAAGGTGACCAAAAGTGTTATTTAGTCCCTAAATTAAACATTAACACTTCTTGGCATGCTAAATCTTTATTTATTAGAGCTGTGTGGATTGATGAACAGATACTGCTGTAAATAAACCTTAATTAGCTCAAGGCCTGGGTTTATTTTGCAGTTCCATTATACTGTACATGTTTTTAGTGGTAAGGCATACCAGAGCATCTGGAGGAAACCTACGTAGACATGGGGAGAACATGCAAACTCCATACAGAAGACCCTGTGCCTCCCGGAAGTCAACACCAGGACCTTCTTACTGGGAGCTCTGCTGTACATGGACTTTTATGTGGCAGACCTGGGAACATCTTTTTTACTCTTTTTGTTGTCATTTTTTTCACAAATAAATGGGAAATTGTGAACAATAGATTTTTATTTTGCCTGGTTCAAACCATAGACTGTAGATAACAATCTCAAGTTCAAACTAAAACCAATGTGGTGAAACCAACCCTTGTGCTATCCTTGGGTCAAACCCTAACCCTGCCGCAGTGATTAAAGAAGTACCTCGGTTTTTGGATGGTTTTCTCTTACTTTTCTCTTACCCTTTTAGGGTATTCTTTCCTTCTACTTTTTATCACTGTGGTAGGTCATTTTGAATCAATAATAGCACTTGGAATTTTAATTTAATTCAAAGTTTCAGCCTTTTGCTATACTAAGATTATTGTTATACAAAGGAATTATATGATTGTAACTCCAATACACTTATGATCGACGTAAAAGGGTTCAACGATTGAAGCAATTGGTTTGCTGCACCTTCTGCTATGGCCCATGTCAGCATTGCTCGACACGTTTGATACTACCTCCCACAAATACCACTTAATAACCATGTGATTTGCTAGCCTCATACTCCACCATAATCCTCAATAGAAAATAATCTGGGGTGAGAAACCTTCTTTAATCTCCAGATCAAGTGTTTGGGCTGTTGCTTACAAATGCGGTTAATGTTAACAAAAAGAAACCTTTAAAATATTTTCAGAGTAACTTTTATTTTGTACTAAAACGATGGAAATTCAAAATCAGTGTTAGCAGTCAACTGGTGTATGAGAGTGTTGTCTATGGTTGACATCATCGATTACTGATCTGAGAAATCACAATACACACATTTCAGAGGTATGTTACATCAGCACACCTTCAACAGTCATGTCTCTTTGAATAAAAAAGTTCCTTCAGACTTTGTCACATAGTAGTGTAATCAATTATACCACATGAGTTAAAGGAAATTAGAGGTTAAAAACAATGTGTAAAAGCATTTTGCATATTAAACTCAGATATGAAAAGAGTAAATTTTACAGATCGTTTATCCTTTATAGCATAGTTTCAAGACTTGTGAACCCTACATAACTTTTTAGCAGATTGGTTAACATTCCATTTCCAAAAATTTCACAGAGACAATAAAGCAGACATCCAAGCCTTTGGTGCAAAAACCAATTCCATGACATCATGTTTGAGGTTGTGGCCTCTTACGATTTTCCACATGGCTTAAAACTTCCAGAGCGCATGACCCCACCAGTGGCTTTATAAGTTTATGTCATAACTCTGTATACGTTTATCCATTTCTATGGCTTGCTTCCAGTATACATTAACATAAATTTACACTTATAGTTAGACATGAAACATCGGTGGGTTCAATACATTAGGCACTCGGTTAGAGTGGAAGTTTCTCTAGGTACATACAAACACTACTAGGTGTTGTTATAATTTAAGGTTTACCACACAAAGCAAAGTGGTGTCAACAGATACAAATTCAGGAACATCTCCAGTGTATTTTTCTGAAAGTGTAAGATGGTAAAACAAAGACATCTTTCTTAATGTATTTTTAGCAGGATTATAGCATCTGCCCAATATTGACATCATACATACACATTGATCAAACTACTAAAACTAGTATAGCGAAAGTCAACGTCTACTTCATAGGCATTCCCCCCCCAAGATATACGTAAAATGGTGTTAGATTAAAATGGGACATAATGCAAAGGGACAGCGTTTATACACAGACACAAAGTTGCCTTAACTTTAGTGATAAATCGTAAGATCAATCCTTGGGTAAGGCTTCCTGACATTGTCCTGATTTGGAGTCCGCCCTTGTGTATGCATTATTAGCAATATGCATCACTTGGTTTCACCAGCATGAGTGAACAATGTATGAACTGGCCTATAATACATCTGTATTGCTGTTTAGTAATGGAGTGTTACATGAGAGAATTATTCGGCCAGGCCTGCGAAACAAATGTAGCCAGGGATTTTCACAATTTAAAATCAAAGATATTATTGGAGTGGAAGAGGTCCTAAAAATGAGATTGTGCTGCTGAAACAACACTTTAAAAGAGGTTTGAGAACCTCAAATGTTGAGATCCATCAGCCAAATCCCACCTGTTGTGCAAGTTTCTGCTCTCGTCAGTTCAGGCTCTTGAGAGCCCGGCTGCTTCCGACTGCTTTCCTGTGCGTTCAGGTTCTGTGCAAAAGTGTTAAGAGAGCTCAAAGCCTGTGTTCATGCTAATAGCATATCTGAGTTTATCCCGTAAAATGCTCTTTTTGCTATAATTTGGCAGCTTGAGCAGGTTGAAGCATGTAGATGAGGTGGGTAGTCGACCTCCAGGCTCCTTCTTGCGAATAGTGAAAAAGCCCCTAAGGACACTGCCCAGTGTGTCACCAGTGTCCTATGCAAAAAGATTGAAACTTATTATGAAGTTTTAAATGATTAGTTATACAATTCAATCACAGATTAGTCTCACCTGATCATCTGAAACCTCTACACAGCGGATTGAAAACGGGGGCTTTAGGTAAGCAAAACCAAGAAGTGGTGGCCTTGAACAACTGGTGACAAACTACAAAAACAAATGTAATGTAATTTTAGTTGCAACAGTTTTGTATAATTTAGCAAGCAGACTTACTTTGAGGAACATGGCCCTCTCCTCTGCATTGAAGTCACAAGACAAAATGTCCCAGAGCCAGATAATAACACGGTGGCTGCTATGAAAGCCTCCATAGTAAACAGTATGTTTCCTAAAAAGGCAACATTGATAGGATGTTTCTGGTGTCTACTTACAACGAGTAATTTTAGAATAGATAAGAACATACTTAAGATCATCTAGGTCAATCTCTGCATTGTCTCCTGAGATGAGGCGCTGGACTTCGGGTGTAGAAAACATATGCAGCCACTCAGGGTTAATGATACTGCGGAAGCCGCGAATGAAAGCAATAGTTTGATCTTTAATCTGTGTGTGCATCCGAAAGTGAGCCATGAGGTGGATGTAGCTGATCCTGTAGAGAAAATTCACACTCAGACTGACGAAAGGCAGACTTCGAAAGACGCTTTTATGAAACATGCAAAAGTAACTAACTTATTCTCATTGGTAACTGGCATAGTTTTTCCTCCAGGCATTAATTCGTGGCAAACCAACTGAAAAAGGAATTGGTAAACCATTTGTTTTTATATGCAAGATATCATTATATTTGATCTTACCTGCCCCATGACATCCTCATCATAAGACAGAGTAAGTCCTAGATCTCCCACATCTCCATCATAACGCTGAAAAAAATAAACAACATTTCTAAGCCCAGAGCAATAATAACAACATTGCTATGACAAAGATTAAGAACTAATAAAATGACAGGCAAGTACGTCTTTTAGTGTATTTTGTCTTTAAAAAAAACAATTTGTAAATAGCACAATACAGCACAATAAAACAGAAACATAATTTTATGTGCACAGCCAGTATTTGCAGTTGAACTTACCTTTATTGATGTAAGGTTTTTGTAAAACTCTGAATCCAGTGACGGCAGCTCATCAATGGAGCTGTAGAATGAACTGTGATGGTGACCCAAGACTTGACTCAGAAAAAATGAGGCGAAGGGAACATCAACAACAATCCCCTTTAGAAACAAAACATGATAATAACACAGGTTTCAAAGAGATGCATTCCCAAACAACAACAACAACAACCTACCTCATACACAGCCTTCCCAAGCATCTTTCCAACAAACTCAAACAACTGCAGATGGTTTTCGTGAATATACGATGTGGGAGAGGGATAAAGTCGTTCATTTCCGCTTGTCGTCTGTGATTTTAAAAAAACAGAAACACAAGTGGATTAAAGAAAGTAACAAAATTATTATGGAATCAATAATTAACATTTACTAAACTGACCTTGAAAAGGTTTAGCGCTGGGTTGAACACTTTCTTAATAATCTCTTCTAAAAATTCTTTAAATACACCATCCTGGTCTATTCCAGCCTCGTCGACTCCCAGGTCGTTCACAAACTTCACCCTGATCACACCTTTGATAGAATTGACAGGCAATCTTCGCAGCTGGTCATACCCATCCTAAAATAAGATGAAAAATGGCTGGATTAGGGAAGCCCAAATAGGGAAAGTTGCATGACATATAATAATAATAATAATAATAATAAGATACCTCCAACATCCTCGAGCGACGGATTGTTATATGAGTGACGTGTGGTGATGCAGAACTTGTCTCCACCAATCCTAATGTTTCTTTTTCTTTAGTCACAATATTTCTAAACAGCAGCACTCTCTTCAATAACAAAAACACAACCAATTTAGTTTTGAACATTCTCCCGCATTAAAGGAAAAATATCTTCTTACGTAACGTACATTTTTATGAGGAATAACATGTGGTATGTACTGTAGAAGAAGTTGGGCTCTCTTCTTTCCTTTCTCCAGTTCTTGGAATAACACACTAGGCTTCAAATCCCTAGGCAAAAGTATGGATAATCAGTTTCTTCTCAATTTGTATACGTTTTCTATTTAAGTTGTATTACTTGCGCAACCAGTGTTCATCTGGAGTGAATTTTCTTCGACAGTCACGCTCATAAAGAACCATTAACCACCCATGAACACTGTGAAATAACTCCAGTTTTTCTCCTTTTGCATTTTCTACAACAAACATAAGGAGTGTATTGCAAATATTCGGTACATGGCTATGTTGTAGAAAATCCCTCGTTTACCTAAAATGCCATCCCAGATCATTTTAAAGACAAATGTGTTGAGAAAAGAAGAAATGGTGAGGAGTTCTTCTATTTTAAAAGACGTTTGTTCTTCATACACCTCAATATCATCCAAAATACTGCATTTTTAAAAGAAATGCATTATTAAATACAATTCATAAAATACATTAGAAAATTATACGAGAATTACGTGATAAGATGTCGCGAGCAGTCACAGAACAGCATCAGCATGGCCAGGAGCTGTTTGGACTCTTCTGTATCATTATTTAGACACTCCATAAACAGTTTGAGCCCGCCCTGTGGCCCAAGCTCACAGATGAAAGCCCAAAGCTTAGGCAGAAGTTCGTCCAGATGTGTTAGACCTGAGGCAAATCAGTGTGCATACATAAATAAATTGTGCTTAGAGTCAACTTTCAGAGTGGTGTCTCTAATAGAACAGACCTGTAAGTATTTGAAGGCGTATCTGCGTTAGTGTAGACAAGGCAGTCTGATAGAGCACACAAATACTACACACTTTCTGAACTTCTGCAGAGTCAACACGTTTTCCTCCAACTGGCTTCAAGATGTTTCGCACTGACGCCGACTTCTGAAAAGCTCGCCTGAAGAGGTCTAAGCGTAAACATGCCAAGACAAACAAATGAACATATAATTTTACCACACTTTGTGAATGAATTTGTTGAAAGGATTAATGCCCTATTTTATAGGCAATATATTAACATATGAACTAGAATATGTAGAATATGTTTCATGGCATTCTCGACAAAGTAAGCCAAGCTGGGCAGACTCTCTTACCAGATAATATACATAGTGCACCTTTAAAACACCACCATACTCACTTTTAACAGGTAGATTGTTTTGCGATGTGCTTGGCTGGGGTGATTGGGGGGAAGGAGGAGTTGGCTCTTGGCTCTCCAGTTTTTTGGAAAGAACATCATTGAAAAGTGTCCGAATAATTGAAACACCCCACAAGTTTTGAAGTTGTTTTGTGACCAGTGGCATTGACTCGTTCAAACTAAAACAGAAAGAACAAATGTAAAAACACTGCGTCCAACTATAATACTCCCAACAATGTTTTCTTTTATACCCATAGTCAACACTTTGGGAGAACCAGCCCAGGACAGGGTGCCAGTGAGTGAGATTAGATTTCTTTTGGGAGACATATCTCTGACAGTATGACAGCATGTCAGTCAGATCCTTCACAAAATGACCTGCCTCTTCCTCTAGGACTTTCTCACTATGGTATCCCAGGTGAATGAGGTTTCCTAGAAATGAAAACAAAAAGGTTTCAGCCCCTCATCATGATATATATCACAATGTTGTAGATGTACATTACCTAGTAAGCAGAGGGTATGACTCCCCTCTAAACATACACATATATCTGAGCACTGTTCTTCACGGCTTAGAAACAGAATAAATTTCCGTAGGAGATCATGTGTCTGAATAGTTGCCATACACTGGAAAATAAAATAGTTTTAATTGCTGTATAATTATCAAATAAAATGATAGTTACCAATTTAATCACATACCTCTGGTGTGAGAACATTTATGTGATGTACAACTGCTGGTACTGACATAATGTGCAATAGGAATGATCTCAGTAAGTTATCAGAAAAGTGTGCCGCAAGAACTGGTCTAAAAGTACAAATTTACGAAGTTAAACATCACATTTTCTCTTCTCATTAACGGTTGAGCTTTCTAACCTCAGCGCCAGGGTGAAAATTGCAGTTAGAGTTCCTTTGGATAGAGATGGCCTAGAACGTGCTAAGCCATTGGTCAGTAAAATCTGAGGGACAAGATGAAATGAACTTGAAACCAACTATAGACTTAGGCAATCTATAATAATTATCTATTTATATCTATCAATAATTTACTCTATTATCAAACCTCACCTGTAATATTGAATAGAACCCCTTTTGGTTAAGATGTCCCATAACATTTTCACAGATTCGAGTTAAAGCAGGTCTTAGTGCTTCACCTGAAAATAGAGATAAGATAAGAGTTTCTTCATTCCTCCCACAGTGGGGAAATTTCGATGTTGCAGCGCACATACAGGACAGTAGTTAGAGCACACAGGGAGCACACACAATATACAAAATAAGTAGTAGCTTTGTTTCTTGACTAGTATAACTAGCTGTAGATGCTGAAAATGCTTCAATAACAGTCAAAAAATATATACATGTAGTAGTGCAGAGGTCTATACTGTACATATAGTGCAGGATAATAAGTAGAACAGTAAACTGACATTGTTCAGTGGATTTTCTGAAGTTGCAGTATTGCACATTGCACATGATTGAAGAATTTACTTATACTATATTTATTGTTCTAGTTTTCTAGTTTTTAGCAGTGCTAAGTAAGTAATTTGAAATGTACCTTTTCCTTTGACTATTCGCCAAGTAGAGGTGTCAGTGAAAGTCACCAGCATGGTAAGATACAAGGTTATGATTTTATTGTCCTGAAGTATGTCAGGCTGCAAATCATAAAAGCAGAATTACAGAACCATGTGTTATGCTGTTATTATAATGGTCCCTCGTGCAAATATACATACCTTTAACTTTTTAAGCAAGATACAACAAGTCCACAAAACATCCTTTATCTGTTTGAGCCAGGCAATAGTTAGGTCTTTAGAAAGTGCCAATGACACATACCAAACCTGTAGATGTAACAAAAGCATTTTGTTGCATCCTTTAAATTGAAAATCAATACAGAGACTGGAAACAGTGATGTTGGAAAATGTACTTACTTTAGGCTCATTTTCAACCTCCATACTCGCAAGAATAGCACGGCAAAGTTTTTCGAATCGCTACACAAACGTAAAAAAATGTTAACATCTTAACATGGGTAAAGCCTGGACTCAAAATCTTTATTAAGGATCACTTGCCTGCTTATCCTCCAGACGGTATATGAATAATAATTTCCGGGCAATTTTGAAAATAGAAAGTGCATTTCTTTTTGATGTTGTAGTCTCAGAGTTTTCAAAATAGTCATCAATCTCTTTCCTGAAAAGAAAAAAAAAAACACAATAAAGCAAATATAGTCAATACTCCCCAAAAACACTTCCATTACCTTAATTCCCTTTGGAGCTTGGAACGACAAACGAAACCCCTGACAACAGCTTGAATCGTGGTTGCTGCTTTCTCCTTTTCTTTCTGTCCTTTTCTCTCCTCCCTGGCAAGTCTGGCTTTGTCCAGAAACTCTGATTTGGAACTTTGAGGTACAGTAAACATTGTGCCCACTGAGAAAAAAAAATGTGTCAATGAATTGCCATTTTAAATCAAAGTACACTGACAGTGAGAAAAACAAGATTTACTTACATGCAATGTTTTCCAAAATTAGATGTTCTTTGAGCCTAAGGGCTCACCCTTCACTATAGGTTGTAATTCATCTGGTAGTCTTCACATTTCTTGGAGGTGGAAATCATATACCAGATGAAGGCAAGCTCGTCATTTTACAGAATAAGATTTCAGGATGCTATAAAATAAACTGAGGGAGTTAGCATACGGCCGTGGTCCAGTTGAGCGCTGCTAGGCTTGCTCCAAATTCAGGTTAAAGTTAGATTTTCTCATCCAATAGTTGACTGTAGCAATATAATTTCCGTTTAGTATTGCGTCAGTGATGATAACAGCGTTAAACGTGCCGACGACCCACCGCAATGAAATGTAAACAATGTCAAAATGCTTCGTCTAACTGACTACAGCCATTAATCCCTTGTGTCGCATTCAATGTTTCCGGATAATGATAATGGGTCTCTAATTATAAATTTAACAACTAGTGCTATATTTTATGCAGTAGTCCTTTTCATCCTGTCGCGTAAGCTAATGATGTATTTTTATATTGAGTTGACGAGGCAATAACCTGTTTTGGGAGGGTCTATGGGGGACTGTTTTGACTGTTACACATCCCAAGCGGAAATGTTTCAGGAGGCCAATGACTTTTTTATGTCAGTGAAACATTTTGGTATATGCCCGTTTTACTAACGCTGCTTCAGTGAAACTCTATTCGACACATTTTAAACAAACACTACGAGTTTAACTGTGCATTAGAAGTAGTTTAGAATTTTATCCTGACGTAATCGTAATAAGTGCGCAGCCCGAGGTCAAGAGGAAGGAAGTGGGTGTTAGCCACATTAGCTGACTAGCGTTAGCAACATACAACTTCGAGGACTGCTGTGGCTTCTATGGTGAATATTGACTATGTTGTGCATACTTCTCCCCCACAATGTTGTCTTTTTAATATATACTCTACTCAATTCGAAGGTTTAGTTTATTTTGCGATTGGCCTAAGTTTGGTTCAACTTTTTCCTAAAACACTCTTTGCTTTTTTGCATTTTGTTTTGTCGACATAGTCTCCATACAGTACAGCATATTCCATACTACTTATAAATTATATCCTAGCGCTTTTCCTGACGCCCGAAGACTCTTCACTTGGCATTAATCATTCACTCCAACCAAACGCGGTGGTCGTAAATGACTGTAGCCACGGCTCTACACGTCGTGTTGATAAATTGGCATAGCTTACGTTTTTTCCCCAACTACATACAACTTTAAAACGAACTATTCTGATAAAGGACTGTTTTGCCCAAGTTACTAAAAGTAATTTATCATACATTACTGATTATTGGAATGAACATGTTATGTATTTGTATTATTTTAATGTATTAACAGTAACTGAGTTACTCTGCTTTATGAGTTATGTTTAGTCCTAACTCCTAACCACTCACACTTAGACTGATGTCACTCAAATATTAGTTTTAGTTTTGGTGCAAGTTTTGTTTATTAAATGTTTAACTGTTCCAGGATGTAGAAGCCACTTATTATCTCTCACACAAGTTCCATTTAATAAAACTTATTTTTTAGGAAGAGATGTCAGGTGAGAGTGTGCTGAGTGCGGCAGTGCCAGCAGCGACAACTCGGACCACGTCTTTTAAAGGCTCAAATCCCAGCTCCAAATATGTGAAGCTCAATGTAGGTGGTGCGCTATACTATACCACCATGCAGACACTAACTAAACAGGACACAATGCTGAAAGCAATGTTCAGTGGCAGGATGGAGGTCCTGACTGACAGTGAAGGTAGGTTTGCACTGTCAACACGCAATGTAAAACTAAACCAGTTCCTTAAACTGTTGTTGTTTGCAGGCTGGATATTGATTGATCGCTGTGGTAAACATTTTGGAACAATCCTGAACTATCTTAGAGATGGTGCTGTGCCACTTCCAGACAGTCGTCGAGAGACTGAAGAGCTTCTTGCTGAGGCAAAATATTACCTTGTACAGGGCCTGGCAGATGAATGTACTGCTGCATTACAGGTGTCTGATCATTTTCTACAAAGCATCTTAATTTATTTATAATTATTAATACAGTTCCTTAATACGGTTCTTTTTATAGAACAAAGAAACTTACGAACCTCTTTGCAAAGTCCCACTGATGACATCTTCTAAAGAAGAACAAAGACTTATTGCTACGTCAAATAAAGTAAGACTATCAAAAATATTAAGATCTTGTGGTGTTGGTTGTTTTCTTTCATTTAAATTGTAATTGAACTGTGGTGTTTTTGCAGCCTACCGTCAAATTGCTGTATAATAGAAGCAACAACAAATACTCTTATACCAGGTGAATTATTATTATTATTATGCCAGCACATTAAACTTGGTGAATTTGTCCTCACAAAAAAACATGTCTTTTCATATTTCAGCAATTCCGATGACAACATGTTGAAAAATATTGAGTTGTTTGACAAGCTGTCTCTGAGGTTCAATGGCCGGGTACTGTTCATTAAAGATGTGATTGGAGACGAAATATGCTGCTGGTCATTTTATGGCCAGGGCCGGAAGATTGCAGAAGTTTGCTGTACTTCTATTGTCTATGCCACGGAAAAGAAACAAACAAAGGTACATTTCAGAATCTAATATTGTAATTTCCACTGTTATACTACCATTTCCTTAACATTTTCTCTCCACCATGCTCCTTGTTCGTATAAGGTGGAGTTCCCAGAGGCTCGAATTTATGAGGAAACTTTGAACATCCTTCTATACGAGTCTCACGATGGAAGGGGTCCAGACAATGCCCTACTGGAAGCCACAGGTGGCGCTGCAGGGAGATCCCATCATTTGGATGAGGATGAAGAGCGTATTGACAGAGTACGACGAATTCATATTAAGCGTCCTGATGACCGCACACATCACCATCAGTGATCTTGGACTGTCATCCTATGTTTTAGAATCTGGACCTGTTTGTGCCTTAACATACCAAATACGTTTTTCTCCAGAGCTCTGAGATGTAGGACAGCAGTTTAGTGATTCAGTTTATACGTGCTCTTACTTTTGGTTGGACAATTCTGAGTGATTTTCTGTACCTCTTTTTCATAATGTCTGTTGCAATCAACCTCATGAAATGGGGATTCTTCCTCACTGTATAAATGGCTTTTGTTTTTTAGTTCATTATACTGATTCATACAATGTTTATAATATTTATTTTGTAATAGTTAACTTGTTTTTATATAAAGTCCTTTTGACTGGTGACTTACCCAGTTGTACCACTTGGTGGCGATGTGGTTTTAGTTTATCCATTGGTGACTTTGAGCCTTAGTGACCAAGTTGATAAGACTTATGATGACATAAACCCGAAAGATAACATTTGGGCATGTCATTTTTACATTTGTCATATTTTAATATCACCTTATATTCTAAAACCATTCCCTGTTTGATTCACGAGTTATGATGTGTTAAACACTAATCGAGATGAAAGCTTGAAAGAAAATGGCTGACTTTGGCAATGATTTAATGCTTGAAACTAAGTATCCAAGAGAATCCTGTCTTCCCAGGTTAAAAAAGAAACCAGATCCATATATATCATGTATTGTTTGTCACTATCTATATAAAAATGTTATCACGACATAAATCTATACCAAGTGGATTCATTTATTTGGATATTGCCCACTTTGTTCATACAAAATTATGAAATATATATGGCTACATATGGTTGGACCAAAAACAATGTCATAAAATCGTTTGACACAAAATAAACCAAATGATCAAGTGAAAAATGCACATTTAAAAAGTGCAAGTTTCTGTTAGTGCAGTCTGTAGACAGGTTAATCTCTCTCAAAGGGGTCTCCTGAAATATGCAGAGCTGTCTTGAGTGTCTTTCCAATTCCCTCACATTACCGTGTCCTGCTCCGTGTGGTAACCTGCGGTGACAAACAGACTCTCGTTTCTGCTCTCTTTAGATACAGCTCTGTCAGTACAATACTCACCACCATGAGGTGGCCATTCTTGCCCTTATAAACCATGGGCTCTTGTCCAATGCTGAAGTCCACACCACTCTCTTTTCCTGCTTGGACTTCGATTTTGATACTGTGGAGTGAAATTGATGAGCATTTGTAAAGCTTAAATACTTTTTTTAAATTTTGGCTCAACCCACCTTCCTTGAACAACTTTAATAGCATTTTGTTTATTAGCAATAATGCTGATCTTTGTCAAAAATTCAAACAAGTGGTCACACTGCATGACAAGATCACCCTGAAACAGTTGTAATTGTTATACTGTTGTTTCTATATGCATTTAAGTAAATTCATATATATTCAATTACACACTAGAGTAGGCTTGTATACCTTCTGTTTGGGGTCTTCACAAGTTATATGAAACACCACAATGCCATCTGTCAAACTGCTCACTGATATCCCTAAGAACCATTATCAAAAATTAATTAACCAAAAAAAGTGTAAATGTAATCTGTGTTCTCTGTATCTATCATTCAAATTGAACTATTTGTAATTGTTACCAGTTATGCAACCCTCACCTTTAAGAGAAGTGTAAAGAACCCTTTGTTTAATCTTGGCTTCCTCTACTACATATGCAGCAGTCTGTGTGAGGATCAGCTGCCTGGGCCGTGGTTTGAATCCGTTTCTGTCATATTTGATCACTGGTACACTATACTATAATAAGATAATGACTATGTTAGTGGGTTTACAACCTTGCATTTCAAACATGTACGTAAATGTATATAACCTTAATGTGCTCATTGCGAATTATTTGAATGACTCTTGGGTTTATATCTTGTTCATCTGTGGGAAATACGGATGGTGAGATGGTTGGATAATTGTCTAAAACATTATTGTTACTATACGTTATACATATAAATTGTCATTTTACTGATTCTGGTGTCCATAAAAGGTTGTGCAACACTCTGAGGATAACACTCCTTTTTGCCCTTAAAGAGTGTACTAGCCACATATTTTACTTGAAGCTGGAAATACAAAATGTAAGTGTTCACAGATCCACACTGTAAATAGTTAATGTTGTTAATTACCTGCGCTTTTCTCTGTGGTGTGATGCCTCTGACATATTTCCTCACCAAGAGGCGATAGTGCAGTTTCTTCAGCATTTCTGATGGCTATTATATGGGCATTGGAAATTAAAACTCACTAAAACGATTGCAGAAATTACTGTATAAATTGTTACCTCTGAACACACAGGTGGCGGAGGGTACCATGATGTCTTATCCAAAACAGTTTTTGGAAGATTTTCTTTAAGTCTGTTTAAAAAGTTTTGTCTTACGAAAGCTAGATACTCTGAGTTGTCTGTGGTTTTTGCTTGGCCTCTGGTCATGTATCCTTTGATAAACCTGTAAACAGTGGCCCCTGTAACTTACAGTTCTTTTAGTTACATTTATTATAATAATGAACAGTCTTACTGTTTGATGACTTTGACTGCCCAGGCTCTTTTCTTCCTCTCTTTTCGAGCCTGAGCTCCTCTCCAACACGTTTCAATCTTTGTTGCTGCACAAATATTGCATAATAAACCAGTGGAATAATGCATCAATATGAGCAAAGTAGTGTGCTCTGCACTATGATTATTTTTTCATTACCAGCCTCTTTCTGTTTTCGAAACTCTCCCTTTGCTTTGTAACCTTTATATTTGGCCTGCAGCTTTGAGGCTGTAAATGTGAAAACAAAATTACTCATGAAAAGTATTTTTTTCTCACTGGCACTCACCTAGTTCGTGTTTACACTTCTCAAATGCATCTTCTGTTGCATACAATGTTCTTGGGTGACGAATAAAGATTTTAGTTCTGATCAAAAGGAGAATTAGACTTTGCACATATAAACTGCATGTATTTTCCTCCTTTACCTCCCCATTTTGTATTCATTTGGCAAATATCCCAGATGCTGAACAAGCACCTCCACTCCATCAGCGGGGTCCCCTCTCCAATGGGGCCAAGTGGCTGGACACAGAGGTTTGTACCTACAAGTATTGTATGGTATGGTATGCATGATAAAACAAAGAAAGCACACATTTCTCACTTCATTTCTCACCTTTGCAGAAAAACATCATATTTGCGTCTGTAAGCGAAACCAGCACGTCTGACTCTGAGGTGCTCCATGAGACCCAAGTATTTCACCTGGTGTCGGATAAGAGCTTCATCAAACTGCCCTGGGGACATTATTGTCATTTTCACCACTTGTGAATTAACTGCTTAAATATTTTTTATTGTAACTACCTTTTTGCTTAGACTCATTTGATTTCAAGCAGCGTATGTACCATGCTTCTTTGGCCATGAGGATCTCCGTCAGCTTCAGCAGGCTGCTCTTGAACTGCGTCGCCACCTACAGACACCCACAGGTTATGATCCTGCAGCTCCTGTCACTCACATGTGCTCAGCGGCTGCCACTCAACTGTTTCAGGCCTTCTCCTGTTGTCTGGATCTGAAGTCGAGAAGCACTCCTGGATTATAGCGTTTTTAGACTGACATAAAAGCTATTGGTCCACAGAAGATAAGAAATATGTTGGTTTAGGAATTGTTTTATATTGTGCACACGTTTGGGCTGAACAGCAGCTTACATCTTTAATGTTGCGGTAAAGGAGATCATTGTTTTTGTCCAAGAATCCTAAAAAAGAATATATACCAGTTTAAAAAGGTACTATTTTTCTTTTTGTATAGTTCAGTTTATCAAGGATCCCCATTTGCTGGACTTCAGCTACTCTTCATGGGGTCCTTTAATACTGGTTTTTCAGTTAAGATTTTTGTTCTGCTTAATTAAACATTCAAAATTGCAAGAAGACCTATAAAGGCTGCATTAAGCGCAAGTTTATGATGCCTTTTTTGTCAATTGTTTATTTTCTTATAAGTAGGCTTGTAAGAAAATTCTTATACGTAGGCTTATCTTTCACCCTCTTTACCCACAACGCAGTAGGTGACCTCTCCGGCATAATGCAAAAGACGAAAATCCCCTCTCTCCAGAGTTTTGCGGGTCATCTTATCTGCCAGTTTGTGTCTGTCACATAGTGAAGTACAGAAAATAAAATGGTTTAGATTGACATAATGTTGTTTTGCATAGAAGAATCACTTGACCTACGTAACAAAATGGGGATGATTTGCCATTTTATCCTCCAGTCGCTCAAGAAAAGTAAGATCAGTAGCATCGCCAGGCCTAAGGCACTCTTCATCCTAAACAAAAGGCAAATTGTCAATATTTTATTAAAGGTACTGTATACAGGAGGATTTTCTACTTCCGGGTGGATCATCAAGACTATTGGTCCTCCCAATTGTCAATCATTCGGCTGATTCATGTTCAACAAATAAGAGTGAAATAAGAGAGTTTTGTTTAAAAAGTGGAGGGGGCGGTGTTTCCTAAAAAATATTTACTGGAAATCCTCCTATATACCTTTAACATATCATTTTAGTGTTAATGTGTAAACAAACCAATATGGCTATAATTCCTCTGTGTTTCTCCTCAACCAAGTCGCATATGATCCTGTTATTGAAAAACTGCACAGGCTCCCACTAATAAGAACAGAATCACAAAGTTTAGTTACTTAAGTTTACATAAAGGTACACATGACATCAAAAATAATGCTTTTGAAATAACCTCAATGCCTTCTGCTTCATACTCCTCCTGTTCAGCCTTGAGCGTCAGCTGAATAAATAGTTGCTGGAGTTTCTCATTGCAGTAATTAATACAAAACTGTTCAAAGCTTTAAAAAAAGATAAGAAAAGAACATTGTGCACTCATAGCAGAAACATAATTGGATGAAAACTTTGATTTGTACCTGTTGACATAGAAAACCTCAAATCCATATATGTCAAGAAGACCTATGACAGTTTTTCTGGACGGGTCCTAGAAGGAAGTAAGTATATTTACTCATTTATATAGAGCTTTTCACAGACCAAGATGACAGATTGTCCATGTTTTTTGTATCGTCCCTTCTCAATAGAACAAAATAATAAAAAGATCACACAAAGCGCACAATTTTGGTGTACTGGTAAATCTCATTCTCTCCACACAGTAGAGTATTAGGGGAAACCGAAACAGACACAGAGAGAACATGCAGAAAGGCCTGGAGGTGGAATTGATCCCAGGACTTTCTTTCTGTGAAGCACAAGCACTAACCACTGGCTAATTATCGGAATCAATAACTAGAATGTGTTTACTGTCATTGTCAGTAAAGAAAAAAAATTACGGTGCAAAACTCTAAACAGGCCTATATACAGTAAACACAATAAACCAGTGCAATCAATGGGACATACACTGAAAAGTGACCCGATTTATGAAGTGGCGAATAAAAGTATGTTCCTTGACTCACTGTGTTCTCCATGGACTCATTGATCCTGTTGACCAGCCATGTGAAGGTTTTTCCATAAATGGCTTTGGCCAAGGCATCCCTGGCATAGATGGCATGATCGATTGTGAACGGACTTAGAATCTTCACAAACAAAGATGACAATATAAATCCACTTTGATGAAAAGTGATGCTTCGAGCTTCAAGCAAAAGACATTTCTACCTGATCATTCTTGGCTTCAATCTTTCTGAACGTGAATCCTTCATGGAGTTTTTGAGCATCGACTCCTAAAAGCTGAAATGACAAGTATTTAAACCTTACTATAATGTTAGTTACGTTATTTACAACTCACATTTGACACCCATCGCAGCTCTTCATTGCCGCTATTAAGGGTGGCAAGACCTTTGAGGTCAGAGGTAAACTTCACATTCCCAAGATGGAGAACGCTTGCGACAATAGAAAATAAATGCTGAAAAACATAAATAGAATTCTCAAATACAAATAAATAATGTTGTGTTTTTATATTACATCACTTACATTATTGTAACTGTCATCTATGTTGATCACTTGTAAAGCGTTTTTGACTGTCTTCCAGTCATTTTTATCATTTATAGAAGGAACGATGGCACATTCTCCCTGTTAGAATAGTACACAGAATGAAGTCATGTAACCGTTGGTCTGTGCAGCCACAGGCAGAGAGCCTACTTGAGTGAGATAATTGTAGAGCTGACAGTCCCTCTCCAGTCCAAGCCGCTGCAGCTGGTCATCCCCTGCCCCCTCCACAAGTTGGTAGAAAATGTGAAAGTTCCTCTCTCCATGATTCTGGTGGACAACTCGCGATTTCTCAAGAAGGTAATTCAGGATATGACCTCCTACTGCATCCCCCTGTGCAGAAGAAGCATGCCTATGTTCCGCTCAATATATTGACTGACTTATAAAGACTAGTCATTTGGTTTACTGACTTGGCTATCAAACTGGATGTCCATGTATTTCCCAAAGCGACTTGAATTGTCATTTTTGAGCGTTTTGGCATTGCCAAAGGCCTAGGAGAAAAAAAAAATCCGTCATTCATAGTTTAAATATTGGCATAAAAAATGTCGGCCAAACCTCCAGCACAGGGTTGGACATGAGCATCTTGTCTCTAACGGTGTTGAGCAGAGTGGTGCTCGGGCAGCTCACTGCATAGTACTGCAGGATTTTCTTAGAGGCTTCGGTCTTCCCTGCTCCACTCTCTCCAGAGATAAGAATAAAGTGATTGTTGTATTCTGTCAGCATTGTGTGATAGGCATTATCGGCCAAGGCATAGCTGCAATGAGAGTGGCTTACTTTAGTTTAACAGGCTCACCTTTCAGATACATGATGGATCCAAATAAAACAGAATTGTATATGTTTTTATTTTGGAGGATGAAACATCTCATTTTTGTATGTAGGCTATCATCAGGCCTATACTCACTGATACACTCACATGTGTGGAGGTAGTTCAAAAAAGTTTACTCCCATGTAGACATCCATTTGTTTTCTGTTGTAAATGTCCAGCTCTTTGTACGGATTTAGAGATACTAACAATGTGCCAATGTAAGTCTGAAAAATGATTAAATTGTATGAAAACGTCCACCCCAGAATAATGGTATAAATGATATAAAGTGTCTCTCAAAGTCTCACATAGATAAGGTCGTTGCCAAAGCGCTTTTTGAGGTTATTCATGAAGGCCTCCTCTGTCGTTTCGTCGAGAAGAACAAAGTCCTGTATCCCCACACGGTCCCGGGCTGTGAGCGCTCCCTCCATGTCCAGCTGATTCTGCAAGCAAACGCAGCACTATGTATGGTATGGATCTTTCATTTATACAGGAGCAGTTTACAGCAAACATCCGAAAATGCATCCAATCAGTTTGAATCCTGAGTAAGTAGATATGACTCTATATAAGTCTAACATTTATTTGACTTCTTTGGATAGTGGAGTTTACATAACCAGAATCACATTTTATAGAAAAATCTGAGCATGCTCATGACCACGATTCCCACTTGCACATTGTCCTGAGGAATCCAGGTTCATTGATATCTAAAAATGAAATAATTTAAAATTAAATCAGTATCCCACCCAGACAAAACACAGCGATGTGTCAGTCAGTACTAAAGCTCCAGGCGTTTGTTTTGACTAACACGGCTGACTGCACTAATGATTGAAAAACAGCCTCGGTAGGTGCACTGTAGTGAATGGAACCTCGGAAAAGCACAAATATGGGCCCCGTTTGTTCTATTGAAGAGTGGGGTGTTGAAGTCCTGTGTGCCTTTCAGAGCAAGAGAGATGATTGTGGAAAGAAACAGGCAGAGGCTAATCACTACACAGGGACCTTGGCTGGAGGCCTCTCTGCCAATGGACTGAGGGTCTAACAGCCTCACATTGACGAGGCATAGAAAAAATCTTGCATTTCAGCTCCAACCCTAAGACCAAAGGTTTTCAAGCTTTTGTATGTTTTTCCTCGTTTCTTTGGAAGCAGAGGCTCTTTGATTCCCAATACTCTCTGTAAAACATTTAAAAGATAATCCAATGGATCTAATTGACACAAAGCCCTCCTTCACCTCCCCCTTTGGTCCCCCTGCTCTATCCCCTGCTCATGGCCCTCGATTCTTGAGAAAGGCCAAGTGTTTTTGTCCTGTAAATACCAGGGAGCAGAGACAAAAAAGACATCTTTAAAATGCAGTCTACAATCCATTACACATATTCCCTCTGCATACACATTCAGTAATTATTCATTATAAAACATTTAACGTCACAGTGAATTTCACACTAGGCAGTCGAAACACAATGGAAGAGATTTGGCCTATTTTTTGGGTGAGGAGTTGGGGGTGCGGGTTGGCTGTGCAGAGGAAGGCTGAGGGCAAGGGAGGGGTGAAATGGGGTGCCGTATTTGTCTGATCTGAGAACCTTCGAAACTGGGCCGTCTTGAAACAACGGGGACAGACTCTACGGTGCAGTAACGGTCCATGCCCCGCTGGTCGCCCTCACTCCAGACAATAGGTGCTTGTTCTGTGCAATACTGTGCTGTAATTTGGACTTGATTACTCTGCTCACACGATGACGAAAGAGGAGGCTCGTCAGAGGAGAGTGTTTTCTTTCACCTGTCAGCCCCACACCCTGAATACTTACACCCGTATTGGTAACAATAGCCCTCGCCCTGTGTCCCCTCCACCCAGGGGCCTGTCCCAGAGCCCCCTGCCTGTTTTAAGCCATTGAGACAGGTGAACAATATCATTGAAGGGACCCTTTTGGGAACGTCAGAATCAATCTGAAGATGTGATGGTTGCTGGTGGGATATTTGTGACACTGCCTTCCTTCATGGGAACAAACTTTTCTCATGGCCATAGAAGCAGACAATAGATATGCTCTACAGTAGGAAAAAAGAGCAGGAATGAGCTATTCACAAAGGACTAGGGCGCATTCATAATTGTAATAAAATAATTGAATACGCCCGCTTAGCTTTTTTTGAGGTGGTGACCTGCAATATTTCTTTCTGAAGAATATTGTGTTTCTATGCAATTAATATAAGGTGTTTATCCTCAAATATTCTATAGCAGCAAAACAATGATTATGTAATTAATCCTCAAAGGCCAATAATAGATCAGGTGAGTCTGCAACTTAAGAGCTCAACAATTGTATTTTAATTAAGAGATGGTGCTGGTTTGGGTCTAGAGTGTCAATGTTGCCTGAGATGGAGTGAGCTCATTTGTGAGAGGATAGGATTCAATTTACTTCTCAGAGAAGGAGGGGAGGAGATACTCAGAGCTTTTAGAGGCTAAGTAACATGAAAGTGTATCTCTTAAGTGGGTTTTTTTTACTTCTGCATTAGTAATAACCTTTGAGAGTATTCTAATTTTAGAAACATTAGATTTCATATTTTTACAAGGACGTCTGAATCATTCTTGAATGATAAAAAGGACAATGCATAAACCAGTATCTAACAGTTAAGACAATTATGACAAAACAGACACAGACTGACCTGCATTTTGAGAATGTACTGTTCTGTTGTCAGGTGAAGACGCTCAATCCAAAACAACAAAAGTCTCCTTCTCTCAGGAGATGTTAGAGAGATGTCCTCCAGTGTCTGCTTGCATCAAGACAAAATAATAATGAAAACTATGAAAGTAGCAGCAACAAATCTTAGCTGATCAATGCTCCAAAGAGATTGTTGTTCCTTCAGAAGTCATCTATTAGCCTGAGGCTGAAAGGAGCAGGTTGGTGATGTTGCATGTGTACATCAGGTACAAGTCGTGCGGTCTGCTTAATCATTCATGTTGTGGGAGGTCGAGGAGCAAGGAGATCTTATTCAGGTCTTACTTGGTATCTGCTCTTCTCTGAGTGTAATGTAACGCTGAAAAAACAGGACTCAGCTGCTCCAAAAACAGCACATTCTGCAAACATAAAAGTCTTGAGAAACTTAAAAGTTGAGATTTGATCAGGAAATTTCCCTGTACATGACTCTGAATAATATTAAAGCATAGTCCACAGTAAGAACCATAGACTGTATGAATGCAGTCCTTAAATTAAAATATCTGTCCTTATAATGTTCTTCATAGTGTTGAAAAATCAAAAAGGTAAGACTATATTTTTCTTGTTTACTTGGAGAAGTCAGAGTAAATGTTGTGAATTATTTCTCAACAAATGTGTTAAATTTGTCTACGGTTACACTTTAAGTGTGACTTGGTGGGAGTAACATGTGTTAATGCTGTAGCCTGGTAACCAAACCCTCATAAAACACCGGTGTCCGTTTTCTGACGCACACGAGAAAAGATCTGGTTTCAAGCTACTTTTTTATGGATTTATGTCTTTGGACAGTTGACATTAATAGCTGTGTCTTCAATGTATTTTTAATAATCCAAAATTCACTGCCCACTCCACCAAAGCTGGGAAGATTACCTTCTGCAGAACTGTCTCCCGCCCAGTTCGGTAGCAATGCTTGTCCAATCTTAACAAGCTTTCAGCTACCCACTGGGCTCTGATTCAGCACGAGACCCGGCAAATCCAATTACACAGGAGTCAGAGAGGTTGATTTTTCCCATTATTGATGCCATGCTGAGAATGAGAGCTGATGATAACACTCACATCTCGCCACACCCCCTCTCCCTCACTCCAACCTTATTTTATCTCCATTTCACAGTTTCCCTCCCTTTATTTCTCCATCTCTTCCTATCTAATTCTTTTTTTGCCAAAGAAAGCCTTTCTTCTCTTGTGTCAGTCTTTGGAGCGCCTCTTCTTTCACAGTTCATTATTCTAATTTTTCAGAATAGCGTAACAAAAACTGCATAGGGCCTACTTAATAAGGTTATTTCGTAGTTCACATAAATATGTGCAAGAAAGGACTATAAACTATCAAACAGGATTTTAAGTAAATGAAAGAAGTACCATGTAATGTATATGACTCTGTCTCACCATAAATCGTTGTCAAGTGCCCGCTTTATGGACTTTCATGGACCCGCTGGGCCAAATGAACCTTTTAACTAATTTCAGATACTAGATTATCTTCCACTTATTTGACGGTGAAAAAAGTGACTTTTGCTCCAACATTTCCTTTTTGGTCACTCAAAAGGCTTGACCTTAGCGCAAGCTTGAGTGCCACAAAGGTCGACTCTACTGACCCCTTTAGATTTAAAAGATTTAAAAGCTTATCTGTTTGCAACAGGCAAAAAGTCTATAAAGAATAAAATCCCAGAAAGGACGGGTTAAGTTCAATCTGTGTGTGTATTTGGAGTGCTTGTTTATCATTTAGCCACTGATATACACTTAATTTTAAGGAAGGAAAATGAACCAGATGGCTGCTGCATAAAGAGGGCATACAACTTGTTAAATGTATTGTAGCATATTGAGCTGATTTGCATTAATGAGACATATGAATACATTTTCAGGAGAATTACAATAAATTGATGCTTACATTTGTTTTTTGCCTTTCCTTTTTTAGGATCTCAAAAATTGGTTTGTTTCTGACACTTTTAATTAACTTTACAGAGTTGACAAGCCTCAAAAAGCTGCACTAAAGTCATTGTCCATTCACTTGTGTTCCTAAATGTGTTCCTAAAGTGACAAATAAGAATGAATAGTGAATAGTAAGAAAAATCTTGTATGATTTAAAAAAAAATAAAAAATAAGTCTGTTCAGCTAAATGCTTCTCTAAATGCGTCTTGAAGCAAAAGAGCCGCGTAGAGTTGAGAGCATATTAATTTCTTGTTAATCATCACTTGACCTGGACTGTTTTTGGATGAAGCCTCTACAACAGTACGGGCGTTAGGACCCTATGGCTCTGGGGGAGGCCATGTTTTTGTCCGTTACGTTCATGCATGTAATCATTGATTGAGTCTATTGTGGCACGATTCACCATCTGTAGGCTCTCAAGGGACCGGCTCTTCTGTCAACGCCGTCACTATTTACCTGCAGCCTGCATGGCTCAGGGGTTTACAATATAATAATATTAATGATATATATATTCATTATATACGTATGCGTTACACATAGATTTTAGTGAAACTGGTAGTGGTGAAGCTGTTTACATTCATGATGAGCAGCGCGGCTTTGCCGCCTCCAAAAGCTGAAACCCACCAGGACCCCCAGTCTCATGGCCCCTGGTCCAAGGGCCCTCCCTTCACGCGCCTCCCCGGCTCCTTTTCCCACTCCTCAAAAGAGCAGAACGCGGCCACAGCGGCGGGAAGCACAACTTCGACAAGCACTTCCCTCCAAACAAAGTTCACACACACGCAGATGCCTCTGGAAGTGGCATCATCAGCATCTCTCACAGGCCCAGGCTGGAGCCCTGCACTTACTCCAAATGGAATAGATTACGAGAATAAGGCCGTTTTTAAATACGACCAGTCTGTACAATAGAGTCTAGTAAATCGATTTTTTCCTACAATTCCCTTTTTGTGGAATAAGAAAAAGAGGTATCATTGCACACGCTCGAGACGCAACTGGATTCCCAAAGCAAGCGGAAGTATTGTTCTTAAACTGCTCATCAGTTTATGGACGTGCAAATGGACCGGTGCGAGTAATACCTGGTGCACGGTGCGCAAACACTCGACCCTGACAGAGCAGAGGCTGCTCGTTTGGATGTATTTTTTCGGATGCACTGAGGGAAAAAAATACAAATCTTGTTCTACACTAGAAACATCATACTTTTGAATTTTAGTGAGTAGTCTCCACCTCGCTGTCAGCAGCAGACTTCTGTCAAACTCCGGGCCCCTTCCCCCTGGGCCCATGGGCTCTCCCCCGAGGTCCGTACTGCGCATGTCAGAGCGCTGGACAGCTCCAAAGAGGGAAATTTAAAAAAGCATCAGGGAAACACACTGAATACAGTACAGGGCTCACGCGCCGGCTCACATTCTGCATTATTACTACAAAA